CACGCTGGAGCCAGCCAGGAGTTGTTTATGGACATGAGTTAGTTCACAGAGCTCAACTCATTCTCCTAAGGAGAACACAACAGTTGTACTACAAGTACTACACAGGGAGTACTCAAAACACTAAGCATTTAGATACTGGAAAATAAACTAAGGTATGATGTGATCAGTGAGATCATGCAGAGATTGTAAAAGTACATCTGTGTACAAGGATTGTCATGAGTGAACAGAAGGTTGGTTTAGGACTGATTTTTAAAACATTAATGCTGCTTTTTTTACCTCAGCATTTCTCAGCTCAAAATATTTTCGAGTGTTGAGCACCAACCAAGCTAACTGCAGCTGGGTAATAAATTACCTTCAAAAATATGTACAGGATGAATCAGAGCTGTAGGTGGTGTAAATACACAGGCAGGTTAAGAGGAAAAGCACATCTTTTACCGAAAAGCTGGCTTTTCTTTCGCAGTGACAAGTGGACATCCAGAGGAGAGAGAACTGATGAATGCAACAGTGACCCCTCTGCCTAGTGAGAGCAAGATGCAGAGTTCTGCCACTTGAGGAAAGCACTGTGCCTGGAGAGTACTGTCTTAGTTGTTGAGAAGAATTCTGATGATGCAGGAGGGCAGGGGAGCATCAAGCCTCTCCTTTGGTCAGGCTGTAAGGGAAACAACCTGCAGCCCTTCAGGTGATTCACCATGAATTTTGCCAGGTAGCCCCAAATGTATGAGTGTTTATAACACTTCAAAGGAGAGTGAGCAAAGAGAAAAGCCAGCTTTTTCCCCAGGTTTCAGGTGCCATGAGGCATTGCCAAGTTAGCACTGCTCTGGCCCTATTGAACTGGGAAGCAGTATTAAACTGAGGAGCTAGTTCAAAGCAAGAATGATTTCCTGAATGTTATATTGGATGTTGGAAAATGTGCTTCATAAAATAACAATGATAGAGCTCATGTATGTAGCCGAAGCCACAAGATGCCTGAACTTTGTGGCACACACTTGAAAGATAAGCTGTTCCAATCTAAAACACTTATCTGAGTGTTTGTCTAAAGATGATTGTCCAACGAAGAGTTTGTATGTTGTTTCCTCTTTAAGATAGATCTGCTTACTCATAAGTTCTTGCTTCATTTTTAATGAGGGACAGCTATTAAAAATTAATAAAGTTTATTTACAGAAAAACAGCTATTTCTGTGAATCTCTGCACTATTATTAAACTGAAAGAGAGCAAGTTTAGTTTAGATACCAGGAAGAAATTCTTCACCCAGAGGGTGGAGAGACACTGGAACAGGCTGCCCAGAGAAGCTGTGTATGCCCCATTCCTGGAAGCATTCAAGGCCAGGTTGGATACTGCTCCAAGCAACCTGGTCTAGTGGAAGGGATCTTTACCCATGGCAGGGGGGTTGGAACGAGATGATCTTTAAGGCCCCTTCCAGCCCCAACCATTCTAGGATTCTATGGTTACACTTATTGCACTAATTTTAATAGTAGCATTTTACCTTAGGCTATTTTTGCAAAGAAAATTCATTTTCTTTGTTAAATGATGTCTTCTATGAAACTATCAAATGGAGTTCTTTGTTCCACAGGAATAAAACAACAGTTTCCTCTGGAGGTGATTTTGTCCAATTTTTTCATTTCAGCCTTTCCCAATGTGTTTTTGAAAGGGATTGGTAGTTTCCTTCCTTTCTACCTCCAAAGCAGAGTTTAATAGGAACCAAAAGTCATAGATCAGTGCATCTTGTTTAGCTAATTCTAAATCACAATGAGAATTTGCTTTATTACTGGGTTTTTTTCTGATTAAGATTTCCTGTTTATAATTGGTCTCACTAATGACTTAATTTTCCTGCTTGATCCCTAAATTTTTATGCCTAACCTATTCATCTAACTTTGAATATGGGCAGTAGCTGTTCAGAACTTTCAAAAGTTTTTTTGGGGGTTTTTTGTATCTGTGTTTCTAAATGCAAACACAAGCCAAAAGCTGCAGAGTGATCCAGTAGCAAAATATGATTTTTAGGGAGAGATCACTTCCCCTACATAGCATTAATGAGAAAGAGAAGTCAGTGCAAAGCAGCTGAATAAGAGGAGCAAGAAACAAATGACAAAGATAGAAAATTAAAATGAAAGCTTCCAGATAAATTAATATCAGTTGAAAACAACTATCAGGTTTCAAATTCTGAAGTGTCAGTGCTTCACTACAAAACAAAAACCTGTTTGCATCCTGTAGACAAAGTCAAATTCCAAGGCAAGCATAAAAAGATTTTTCCTTAAATTAATTTCCTTGAATTAAAAATATTGCCCTTGTCTCTTTGGAAATCCATTTTAAATAATCAAAATGCTTCCAAAATATTTCCAATCACCTAGTGAATGTGGCTGCCAGAATCTAACTTGAGGTCTCATTTCTAGCAGAGATGCTGAAATAATTAAGAAGGAAGTTGACTTTTTGTGATACGGAAATAGTCAGAAAAGAGTGAGGGAAACAAGATCTAAAGGGACTTTTGTGAAAAATTAGGTTGCATTGCAACATGCAGATGAATGTGGCTGTCTACCTGTTGGTTTTGTATTTTCTTTGCCTTTTCTGTACTTTGAGAAGCAATTCTGCTCTCACAAAGCTTCACAAAATCACAGCTTTGAGAAAGAAACTATTCGCCTGTGACCTGCTCCAAAGCCCACACGACTAGCAGAGGTAGGCTGGGTAAGGAGGTTCAGTCCTTTGACTCCACAGGCAATCACATCAAAGCTTTACATAAAATGATCCAACTATACTTTAGCATTATTTTGTGAAGTCACTTTTGCAAGTGAAAAAGAAATCATCGTTTGCTGCTCTAGTGAGGAAAACCAGTATTTGGCACCCATTTTCACTGTTACAGCAGAGACGAAATTGGAGCATTGTTATTGGAAGTGTGATTTATTTAAAGAGTTTGTGTGTGTGCGCGTCAGTTATTGCTATGAATTCTCAGCCTACCATTTTCAGGTTACCAACTGTTTTGATTTCTGTTAGTGTGGGTTTTTTTCAGTATTTCATTAAGTAGTTAATTGTAATCCAGGACACTTCCCATTTAATCCATCACTTTTCTGTTCAGGTTGCCAACACATTTCTGATTCAACTTTAGCTCTGTGATGGGTGCAGATCTGTCCTAGGACCTGGACTGAGACCATTAATTTGAAACCACCATGTTAACTAGGTAATCCAGGCTGCATTTGAAAACCATTGAAAATATAAATTTCAAATTCAAAATTATGGAGTTGCTTGATGTTTTGTTGTTTGAGACACATATTTTAAAAAATATTGATTGACACCTTGTAATAAAGGAAGATGGTCTAAAGGTTCAGAGAACATGCAGATGTTGGGAATGTGAGCTCAGTTCTTGTACTCCTTTGGAGACGTTGGGCAAACTTAAATTTCTGTGTTCATTTCTGTGGCCACAGTGAAGGCGATGATGATTCCTCCCCCAAATCTTTACCATGATTTCAGTCTCTAGAGTGTAAACTGTCAGGAGTTCTTTGTTGCTTTTTGTTCTTCTGTAGCACAGAGCCATAGTGTCACTTGGGGCCTCAGGAAATAGTAAAATATAAATTATTTTTAAATTATCTTCATGCAAACTGCTCATACTGTTTATTAAATAAGTATTAGGATAACAGAGATGAGCTTGACCAGAAGTTCAAATGAATGCTGGATTCTGTCCAAAACTTAAAATAATTGTAGTTTTTTCAGTGTGGGTGTAACTTTCACATTAAGAATACATATACACAGGATTTGGCTTGGAGTTTGTCTTTTGATTTTTATTCTTAACTGCACTGCTGTAGTTCCAAAAGACCATATATAGGAAATAATATGATGCATGCAGAGAATTGCTTTTTCTTTGCTCCTATCCAACAGCAAGATCAATAAAAGCAGCATGACAAACATAATTTTCAGGTCTATTAGTGGAACTGTCTGTCTTAGAAATTGAATGTTCTCTGTTATGTTGAAGGAAGAACAAAGAAATTTTTTATTCATGGGGTCATTTCCCTTAGAGGCATTCAGCCAACTTGTAGCTTTCATATTTTGAAAAGTGAAGCCTTGATATATGGGCATTATTTGTTTGCATTTCTGTTTGTAGGATGTGGCAAGTTGTATGAAGTAGTCAGCAAAGCAATGGAAAAATGTGACCAGGAATGAAAGGAGCTCAAAGGGAAAGGATTTGGTTATGAATCTTATTGTTGAGTATTTCATGGCTACACACCAGAGATATTTGAATCTCAGGCTTTGACACAGGTTGTGCTGGGAAGTGCAGACTTCTGATGCACGTCAAGTTTTACTTTCCAGTATTATCCCCTAGCAGAGAGGTATTTGGGTAGAGCTTTTGTTCAGCTTTAGCTCAGTTGAGCCTAACTTCTACTCAAGCAAAAAAGGTTTGAAAAGTTTGATTTATAGATTACTTTGATGTACATAAAAATGCTTAGGGAGTGACACTCAAATTAACGGTCTGATTTCCACAGATTGTGGAAGTGTTGGTGGAGAAAAGAAAAAGGCTTGAACATGTTAGGGGTAAAAAAAGGTAAGGAATGAACATAACAGCTGTTTAGGATATGATGTAGAAGCCTCCTTTGAGGAGAGAGTATGGCTCAATACACGACTTAATCTAATAATATCTTCATCATAGCGGAGAAAAAAGCACGAAGCTGACAAGGCTGAAAGAATACACTTCCTGTAGTCTATAGTTCCTCTGTCATCACTAATTTAGTGGGGTATTTTTTTATATTCTGTCATATTAACAATGCATGAAACACTCAATTCCGAGAGCCCCGGAACACCGGGTTTGGTGCTCTGGGGTACCGAGGGCTGTCACGGGCCGCTCGCACCGTGCCGGGGAAGGGATGTCCCAGCTCCCTCCCTGCCGGGCGTTCCCTCACCTTCCCCCGTTCGGGGCTTTTCCCGACCCCTTGGGGCGGGCGGGGGCGGTGCCGGGGCGGGGCGGAGTGCCGGGGGCGGGGCGGGGAGCGGATCGCGGTGCCCGGGCCGGGCCGGGCCGGTGCCGCTCCCGGCAGGTGCGGGCAGAGCCTCGGCCGCGCACCCGCGCCGGCCCCGCCTGATGTGCGCCGGGGCGGAGGCGGCGCCGGGCTGCGCGCAGGGTCCCGCCATGGCCCTGGCGTTCTGCGGCGACGAGGGCAACTCCACCGCCTACAACGTGGACCACGGCGTGCTCAACAACGGCTGCTTCGTGGACGCGCTCAACGTGGTGCCGCACGTCTTCCTGCTCTTCATCACCTTCCCCATCCTCTTCATCGGTGGGTGCCTGCGGGTCTCTCTTGCCCTGTCCGCCTGTGCCTTTCCTTATGCCGGCCACCCTTCCTTCTCCCCCCTCCACGCGCCCCCCGTGTTGCCTTGGCATGTTCCCCCGCCTGGCTTTGGCTCGCCGCGGGTTTCCCTCCCCCGCGCTGCCGCTTTTCCCCCCCGCCTGCCTGGCCTCCCCTGGCCGGGTGTCCCCCGGCCTAGCCCTGCCCTCCGTGCCGTGCGGGGATGCTGAAGGCTGCGGAGGGTGTTATAGGACGCGGTGCGAGCTGCGGGATGCTCTGGCGGCCGCCTCTCCCCGCCTCTCCCCCTCTGCCCCCGCACCGCTCGCTCTCCGCCCCGGCGGCGATGCCCATCTCTGTCTGCCGGGGCTCTCCGCGGCGGGACAGCCCGCGGGGCTCCCGCAGGTGAAACCCCCTTGCGCAGGCAGCGGAGAGATGGGTGATGCTGGAGGAGACCGCAGGATTTGCCTGCCGGTTTTGACGAGCAGCGCGGGAAGCAGAAATAAATGTGCTATTAACCCCCGGAAAACCTGGCGAGTAAGTCCTGCGTTATCAAATAGTGCTCCCTGTAATAACTGCAGAGCTACAGCCGCCGGGCAGCCCTCCTCATTACGGGTCCTGGCCAAGAGGGCTGCCCGGCGGCTGCGACTCCTGCGGTACCTGCGGTGGGTGAGATTTGGTGTCACAAGCCCAGGGATGCCGGTAGGTGGCCCGGTGGTTCAGCACACGCGGCTCTCCCTGCTCCCGGTCCCGTTCTCCTCAGCCTGGGCCGGCCTGAAGGGCCCCAGCGCGAGCTGCGTGGTTTAACACTCGCTGCTGTGGATCACAAAAAGTCCGGTGCGGAAATAGCAACCAGCACGACTGTTAAAACGGGGTCAGCTGAAGAGCTGCTGAGGGTCCTCTGTGTTTTTCTGCAATTTCTTAGTATTGTTAATTTTTAACTAGATCAAGAGAATGAGTTGCTTTACACCTTAACTTGTGCTCTTTTTTTTTTTTAACTTTTTAAAAGAATTTAAGAAAAAACAAGTAGTATATTTATTAAAGTGTTTGTGCATGTTTGTCAAGATGTTAATTTGCTATTTGTTTAAACTGTGAATATATTTGGAAAATGTTTAGTGCAATGTAATTACTTGTTAGTAAATTGCCAAAAGCACAGGAATTTGAGGCTGTGTCCTGTCTGCATTGTTGATATTATTCCATATGAAGTGGAGTAAACACAGTTCTGAAAATATTCAAATGCATGTGTTTTTAACAACACAACTCTGTCGATGTTGGTACACTAGATTGTTACATATATGTTTAGGTTTGGTTTTCTTTCATGCAGGAGCTTTGTGTGTCACCCTTGTTGTTAAGAAAGCTCTTTATGATTCTCTTTTCTCGTTTAGGATGGGGAAGTCAGAGTTCCAAAGTACATATACATCATAGCACATGGCTTCATTTTCCTGGCCACAATTTACGCTGGATACTGACTTTTATCCTCTTGTTTGTGCTGGTGTGTGAAATTGCTGAGGGCATAGTGTCTGATGGGTAAGTGTATGTCTGCCTTCTCCTGGTAGCACTGAGCAGTTTAAAGGTTTCAGGGTAGATGTTTTCTCCCTGTCTAAATTCTCATCCAGACCATATTCCGTGTGGTTATAAACATATAATCTGTTTTCTTAGTGATTAACCTATTGACCTTATATATCAGAAATTCCACAAACCTTGCCAAGTGATGTACAAAGGCAAAACTGACCTTAATCATTTTTAGTTCAGCTTAATGACACTATCTTTCCAAAGACTAATCATAGATAAATCCTAATGATTCAAGCAGATGGTGACATTTTCGTAATATGTTTTATGTCCAAGGACCCAGTCCCAGAGTCCTTACTCAGGAGGAACTCCCATGTGCACAGCAGGTCATACCATTCCTCCCCAAACCGAGTTCTGTTCATCTTAATAAAAGTAGTGAATGTACTGGGCCTTATCTCACACCCCACAGAGTTTCTTCTGATGTTTTTGCAGTACATCTGGTCTGTTACCTGAAGCAGAGCATCTCATATTATGTGAGCATGATCCATCATCTGTTATTCAACTTAGGATGTCTTTAAACAGAAATCTGTGGGGAAAAATTATTCCAAGTGAAACAAGTGATACAGGAGACTGATTTGTTATCAAAAAACCTAATGATGTATAACAATGAATATGATCATCATCTTCTGAAGAGAGGTATGATTTTCTTAACAATTATGAATTTGCAACCAAAAGGATGAAGTCAAAGCTCCTCATTAAATAGAACAAAACCTCTCTGATTAGCCGCCTGTATAACAAGTATGCATCAAGCAGTGTGAAAGGCACTGCAGTCTTCTGCTGTAGAAGCTGATATCATCATCATCATTATTATAAGTTCTCTTAAACATATATAAATAGGATGTTTCTGAGTGCCAGTTTTTTTAAAAAGGAATTTTTCTTATGCTTATTCAGAGTGATCAGGGTGTGGGATGCTCAGAGCAAAATCTCTTGCTTTGTGTTTTCTCTTTTATTTGGCTCTTTAGCAATCCCTCTCATTATGTTTATTTGCTAGTGAACTTGACTCAGAACACTGCTGTTAAGTAATAGGTGTCACCTGATGAGAATTAAAGCTCCGAGCTCTACTGGGGGAGTGCCAACCCACAGTTGTGCCTCCTCGAGCACTCAGCAGGCTCGTGAGTGCTCCGGTGCTTAAAAGCAAGTTTTGAGACTCATCAGCTTTCTCAGACCAAAATGGATCATGTTGGTAAGTCCTCTTGACAGCAACTGGGTGCTGAAAGCTTTGGCACCTCAGCAATGGAAGCAGCCTATTGGAAACAGGGTTATATAGGGGAATTCCTGCAACTGTGAAATAAACAGATTTAAAAAGCCTCCCACTGCAGTGTTACCCACCGAAGCTTAGGCTGTTTGAAGAAATCTGTTCCTGTTGCTTTTTTTTTCTTGCTGAGAATTCAGCCCTTATGTACAAAACCCGGCATTAAGGAATTCAGAGTCTGGAGATCCTTTCTCATTTTGCTGTATACACATACAAGCTCATTGTCAGCAAGAGGAATTCAGTGTTCATGACACAGGCTGTCAGCATGGCTCTGGCCAGCTCTGTAGAGTTCACCACAATCTCCATGTAAGGGAGGACTTTCTTTCCTACAGTAGAGATACAGGAAAGGGTCCTCTTGATCTGTTGATCCTATGGATCTGTTAGACATTTGGGGTGTTCTGCTCTTAGATGTGTGATGTCCTGTGATGATCTCCCATTTCCCTGAGAGCACAACCCTTTTTGTCTCTCCAAACTACACAAAAGTAGCTTTTGCTGCAGCAAGAAGAAATCAAGACATTATTAGCATATTTTCCATGAGGTTCAGAGAACAAGGTGTGAATTTCTCTGAGTGTTTGTGTCCTGAAGTCTTTCTCTTGGGGCCTTTTCTCCTGAAGCTGGTTGGGAGACAGGAAATTGTACCTTTTGACAGCACAGGGTGCTTAATTCCTGTTGTAAAGGAAAGAAAATGGGAGGAAGAAAAGATGACAAGAAAAAGGAGGTGGGGGAGAAACATATTTCTATCCAACTCTGCATAGTATTGCCCAGCAACTCCTGTATTCCCAAAGGGCTGTGGTTGGCAGGACCCCCTTTGCTGCTGCCTGAAGCAAAGTATCAGGAGAGTTTTGCTTTGTAGGACAAAATGTAAGGGTGTATTATTCTGTTGTAGGTTTTGTTTGTTGGCAGTCGTGGAATACAGGCCTCTCTGTAATTGCTGTGCTGTGGTGCTGTTCCTTTTCCCAAACTGAAAAAAAATGAAACATTTCCACAAAACGTTTCTATAGAAAATCTTGAACTGTGCTGTCAGTTGTTCTTATTTGCATACTTTGATGGACAGCTCCCAAACTAGTTTAGCTTAAATTAACTTTTCTCATTTTGGAGCTGAGCTGCTTATCCTAATTTAAACAGTGTTTCAATTGATTTCAGTAGGAAATAGAAGTACACACCTTTCATCTTCATCACAGGGGAGGAATTTGAAGTCCAACCATGTGATTTAGGAGCATAAATTCAATTAAAACTTGGAGAGTTTTGCATCCATAACTCGTTCTAGAAAAATCTTGAGAAAAAAAATCTATAAAAACCCAAAGCTGGGTAGAGGATACAATTCATAAATTAAAAGGGAAACATTTAAATAGGTAAGAGGGTTTGACTTTAACAGATGCTCACTTTTTTTCTTTTGAAGGGTCTCGGAATCACGCCATTTACACCTGTACATGCCAGCTGGGATGGCATTTTTGGCAGCCATCACATCAGTTGTCTATTACCATAATATCGAAACATCCAATTTCCCAAAGCTGTTAATCGGTACGTCTCACAACTTACCAGACTTGGAAGTGTGATTGTGGTGCTGTGTGTCTGCTCTTCCTGGGACAGGTCGTTGCAGTTTCAGGAATGGCTTTTATGAATAAAGCTACAGCAATATGTATGTTGAAACTGTTCATTATTTTCAATGCTTTTAACTTCTAATAGTATTCTTTGTAGTGTTCTGGGGGATCCAAAGGCTTCTCTAGGAAAAACTGGATTTGTGGGAAAAGTAGCATGACAAAGTTTTAGCTTTAAAAGCTCTCCAAGTTCCCTGCTTGCCAGCATATTGTGTTCAGGCATGATATAAGAGTGAAGCAGTCTTTGTGTGTGTGGTCTGTTGAAATATGCAAGGAGTCAAGGAATGACATCCCTGACTTTCAGTATGACACACTGGATATATTACTTTGCCTGCTTGTTATTGCTTAGTGTTCCTAAACCTCCCTTTGAAAACTGTGTTAAGACCTTTCAAATGGAAAATGAGAACTACATAGTATACTAAATATTTTTTCAAGGTTGTAAATAAACTGTAGCTAGAGAAAATCCATTGCTGGTGACAGTCATGTATGCTGTCTTCTGTTAAGTAGACTGCAGGCTGTGGACGTCTACTTGTTTAGTCATCTTGTTACCTGTTATTTCTTTGGTGGTCCTGGCTCATCAAATTTTGTTTGAATTAGTTTTCTGTATTAATAGATGCTGCTAAAATTTGTCTTGTACCATTGTATCTCTTTGTATCAAAGTTTTGTTCTAGTTTTTGTCAGGTGGGGAAAAGTCAGTAATAACTGAATTTGAGAAAGCTTTGAAATATTGAAGATTGTTTTGTACTGCATGTTGTGGTGAGAATCCTCCTCTGCAGAAGGAGCCTATAACACTTGTAAAAAAATTCCTCTCCAAAGACTGAGATTTCTATCCAGGCTTAGCAACTTATGTCTTCTTATTTGGGACTGCTTTTCTTCTTGTACCCTTCTACTAAGTAGGATCTTTTTTTATATTTTATAACTGGGTGAGGTAGTTTAGTTAATTTTTTAATAAGTCAACAGTCTATTTAATGCTTTCTCATAGGACTAGATGTTATGTCTCAGGGAAGCATTGCCAGCCTACTACAGTCGCTTGTGGGTTAAATAATTTAGTGTCATTACTGCATTCCCACTGTTAAGTCTCGGAGAAGGGTAGCACAAAGTTACAGCTGATAGTTGATTAACCATTTTTGCATAAGTCCTGCTCTGTAGAGATTTCTCTTTTATGATAATTTTTTTCAGTATTTAGAGCGCCAATGCTGGATAAGCTCTGGACAATACTTGAATAGTGAACAGTTATACCAATGAATACCAACATTTAAATATTATGGATGAATTTTAATTTTGCAAGAATTTCCAAGAAATAGACTCTTTCAGAAAATCTGATCTTAATAGCTCAAAGACAAAAAAGAAAATCATCCTCTTTCCCACTTAGTTGATCTGATTTGAATTTTAATCTGAAGTCTTCAAAAGCAGATGATCTTTGACTTATTTTATTTTTTTCTTTTGTCTTCCTTCTTTGTTTTATGTTTCTGAGAGAACCTCAGACAGATTTTTCTGGAAGTCTCTATTCTTCGTACATAACTGCACAACTAAGAGGACTGTCATCTTTAAATGTTAATTGCAAGTACTCTGTATTGACATGTGGGATGAGGCAATTATCACAAATTAGCCCAATATGAGATAGTTAAATTATAGCTATACTCTGCTATCAACCCACTAGAGTGCAGTGTGGCCATGAAGCAGCTTCCCTTGAGAGCCTCATTTTATGGGGTAGATGGGAATATGAGGCAAAGCTAAAGTTGGTGATAAACTTTTTGTTGAGTGTATGAGAAAGAGGGTTCCTCATCACTAAAGTGTTGTAGAAGAGATCTAATGTTGAACCCATGGACAAATAAAGTAAATTACCTGATGTGGCATCTTGCTGCTTCTGAGCATCAGTGAATTGCCACCAAACTGCAGGGCATCATCTGCCTCAGCTGCAGGATGTTCACAGTTGCAAGGACTTGGTAGCTACATAAAGCAAAGGCTGACAGAGCCTTATCCAAAATTTACTAAACCCAGCAGAGAAACTCTCATTGATGCAGTGCAGTAGACCCTTGAAGGTCCGTTCATTAACTCTGAATAGGGTGAAATTTTCCAATCCTGTGAAACTTTAAGAAATTTTCTTTCTAAAAAAAGTTTCACTCTGTGCTTTAAAGAAACCGTGTCCATTTGTAGCTCTTCATAAACAAGCAAGAGGCAGATAGATACCATGACAGAGCTGGGCATTAGCATGTTCCCTTGGGGTATGCAAGACAAGGACTCAAAGTTCCTTTACTGATCCTCCCTTTCAGCTTATCCCAGACATTTGGCTATTTTGAAGTAGTCATTCTTAATATTTCTTATCAAAAAAAGTTGACAAGGTTTGGAATATTTATTCTCTGAAGATAATGATTGATTACGGGGTTGCAGTTGAGTTTCCCGACTCTTGGAACACTTTGATCTGATCCAAATATGTTTTTCTCTGCATGTATTTGACCTGTAATTATATTTCAACAAATGTAATTGTTCTCCAGTAACACTGTTTACCAGGGGACTCTCAAAATAATACTAATTTTGATGCTCTTTGCACCATATGGATGAATAACATTTGTACAGTTTAGCAGGACACATTTTAGAATAGTTTTCATACTGAATTGGAAAATCTGATAGCTTTCTCAACATTCAAAATATGTAATGAAATGGTAGCATCTGATTCCATGTTTAAGTTAGTTTCTTTGTTTTATAGAATAAATAAACCTCAGAAATTAACAGTAGGAGAAAATGATGAAATAACACTAGGACTTTGAGTTTTTAATCTGAAATGGATCGTAGTGTTGGAACACACGACTTTAAGAAAATTGTCCTTCTTTTAACCAGTCTTAATTATACAACTGCCTTACCACTGCTAGACAGTAATCTATTTTTCTAATTTAAAATTCTTGTACCTTTACATTGTAGTTATTTCCCTTGCAATTAGTTTATTCTTTTAATGGAATATCATATAAAAATAATGCTTATTGCTTAACACGCAAAGTTTCTTTCCAAACAGACACAGGTTAATTAATAAATCCCATCCAGTTATGTGTGTGCATTTTTAGATTGGGGTTAATTCAATAAATGCTTGGAAGGGTTTACTTAATTTTCAGGGGTCTGGCCCAGGTGTTGTGGGGTGAGGTATCTTACATGACCCCAAAAAAAAGTGAAGTCATTTTGGCACCCAGAATAGATCTAAAGCAATCCAGTAAATGCATGCATGCCTCTGTGGTCTCATTAGTAGGCAGTTTAGGCCAGTGGAGGTTCTTGGAGATAATTTCTAGAAACTCTCAGCCAATATGCACTCACCGGCCAGAAGATAGAAACATCACCTATGTAGTTATGGCTTAAAAGAAAGAACCATAACTGTATTTTCCAAGGATCCTTATCTTGAGGGGCCTGTGAACATTCACCAGATTAGATTGTATACACTTGTGTTGAAAAGTGACAAGCTAAGTAAATTCAAATGCTTGTAAGGAAGTATGACAGTGGGTGGCCACCTGAGAATATTGTTTGGCCCTTTTGATTACTTCTTAGATAAAAGATTAATATTATAAAAATAAAAGGTCATATAAACCCTTATTTAAATCCTAAATAGGAGAATGGCTCTGCTAGTTCATATTTAGAATTCCAAGAGCTCTACATAGATGCCAGTTGGGTTGGTTGTTTTTTCAGAAGTCCTGTGCTGGTGCATATTTTCAGTTTGCAATGTTTGTATAAGTCCCTTTTACTCCAAGAAGGATGTGTTCTCAGCCTGTTGTAAGAAGAATGAGACAAAACAAAGATTAACAGATAAAGGTGGTTAAGAGTAGAACAGTATGGAATGTGTTCTTGGATGAAGTAAGATTTTATAGTCAGACATTGCAAATAGGAAGGAATAGTGCCTCAAAGGAAGGAAGCAATCTGAAACAGGATGAGAAGATTAAATTTGATGCAGTATAATTTGGGAAGATAGTAGGAAGCCTCACATAAGAAAGCTAAAGTCTTATAAGATAAATTTGTTAAGTATATCTCTTAAATCCTCTCTGCAACTGCATCAGCCACTAAAGTACAGTGCCCAAATACCTGCTTTCTTCTTACAAACTGGCCTGTTAATTTTCAAAGAAGATAGATTCTTGGCAAATGTCATAATGCCCAGTATTACTGTACTGTTCAATTCACTGTCCTCAATTAAAGGAGAGGTTTTAACTTGATTTCTGTAGAAGCAGCATTGGCGGTCCCAAATCCCATATGGATTCTCCATGTTGAATTTAGCTTTGCTTGGAAAGGGTAGCCCCACAGTACCTCCCTAGAGGGCTTTCTGGAGTGCCTCAGGGTAGCCGGAACACCACAAATTCTTTGAAAATTGTGCAAGTTCCTGAGAATATCCTTGTTTAAAGTAGACTTACAGTTGCTAATGCGTTGGTCGAAGCCTTTCTCTGGTGTTCTGGCAAAACTTGGAAAGCACATCCAAGCTTTTCTTGGCAGCTCGATAAGATTGCATCTGTTGCACCATGGCAGATACAACAGCAATGAAAGTAAAAGAACATAACCCCGGAAGGCATTTCCTTAAGAAGGGGGAACAGGAGCTGGCTTATGGTGTGATGAATAGTTTGGAGAGTATTTCCAAACCATCAGAGCTTATTGCGGGGATTATTTATCTATAACTGGTGGTAGCATGAGCAGTTCTAGACAGGAGGTTCAATATAACTAAAAAATAAAAGTTGTATTCTATGAATGCCAGAATATCCTTCCATGATGTGACTGTTTTATCTACGTTGTAAATTACATATATGGAATATGTGCAATATCGCGGCAGCAGTTTGGATGAAGTAATATCTGTTCCTGCATATATCCCAGAGAATTGCAGAGAATTTTTCCTCAAGACGAATTCATAACAGTCTTGTAGCATTAACCAAATCTGAAGAGCATCATTCACAATCACCTTCACTCATGGAACAATCCCCTCCCTTGGATTTATCATGTGGACACATGTTTACAGCAGATGGAAATTTTCTTCAGCAGACTTCACTTTGTGAAACTTTTCAAATATCACTAAATCTAATAGAAAAGGCATTTAGAACCAATATCATCTTAATATTTTAATGTTTGTGGAATTGAATTAGGCTTCTGTTTTGACATGAGAAAGGCTACTCTCTGGTTTTATATATTCTGCTGCGTTCTTTCTGAATGAATATTTTATAATGCTATTGTGTCTTTTTGCAACTGTGGAGCTGATTAAGTTGTTTTGTGTTTGTTTTTTTTTTCTCTGCAGCATTGCTGTTCTATTGGACTTTAGCTTTTATAACTAAAACCATCAAATTTGTAAAGTTCTGTGATAATGGGGTTGGATTTTCTCAGCTTAGATTTTGCCTCACAGGACTTCTGGTTGTTCTATATGGAATGCTACTAGCTGTAGAAATCAATGTCATCAGGGTGAGGGTAAGTTACTATCATAAAAGTCTCCTCCTGTGTTTTTTATTGGTTTGGGTTTTGAGTTATTGTTTTTTCTTCCTTTTCATATTCCCTTTTCTGGGTACTTAGGGTAAAATGTATTTCTAAAGGAGAAAGAAAAATCCAGTTAGGAATAGAAATCAATTTGAGAATCAAAGGTTAATCCAATTTTATTAGACCAGATAAATATGTAATTGCAAAAAATGCCAGACTCCGTTGTAGTGAAATGAAGGTCAATTTCTTCTGTTCAAGTTTTAAATTTTTTAATAATTCTGTTTCAGTCATGACAAACAAGTATTTCTGATGCAAGTGAAGACGGGTAGAAAGGAATTGTCTGCTCTGTCAGAGAATATCTTAGACTTACAAATAACATCTTTCATTTTCCAGGAGACAATCACAATAAGTGATTTATTTGGGCAACTGGGGTTTCTTCCAGCTGTATATTTTTTCTTTTTCCCTCTGTGGTGTCTGCAGTCATAATTTAAACTGAGAGATGATTTTGGAGACTGCTGGATAGATAAATGCCAAAGTTTCCTTGACCTGGAACTCAAATAACTGTGTGCACAAATTAAATTTAGAAGGGGAAGAAATATTTCCATGTAAATTTTCTTGCTGGTTTCCTCATGTGTTTTCTTTCCAGTAATGCATTCAGCTATGTGAGTTGTACCTGTCATATATTTGTTCTTTTGTAATTGTGTGTATGTTTATTTGGTAACTTGGGACAAAAAATATGTCTAAAAGCAGTAGTAAGATTTTTTAGTAGCAGTAGTAACATTTTTAAAACAAAGAGGAATAAAAAGCTCAATGCTGGATATTCAGTATTAGTTAATAAATGAAAACCAGTGGATTGGCCTGTGGGAAAAGTGAAATCCAAATGTTACATCAGAGAGACTTACCCATAAACCTCTTCATAATAGAACTGTATAATTAGATGAGATTTAATCTCTGTGGAGTTAAGTGTCACAAAGAAGAATAAAAAATGATCACTGCCTATTGTCACCTTTTTTTTGTTTGGTTGGTTTATTCATTTGGTTTTAATTATTAAAGGATTGAATAAACTAGTCAACAGTATGAATTTTTTTTACTGCCTGTTGTTCTGTGGCTTGTTGCTGCAGCTGGTGAAGAAAGGCATTGGGATGCATGGAGAGTGGACCACTGCTGAGGAGGGGGAAGAAAAAAGAAATTGAAAGTAAGGGATGAGGTCTCTATGCTAGCAGAAACAGCAGACATTGGCCTCACTTTTTTTTTTTCTCCCGCCTTCCACAGTCTTCTTCTAGAAGAAGGAAAATTGACTTGTTTGACTTTGAGTCCCAACTGTACCTTCTCCCTTCTTTTAGCTGTTCTCATGGTTCTAGATGGCCTTTCCCAACCCCATCACCATTTTTGCTAGCACCTGTGAATTATTTCTCCAGCTATGGTTGGAGCATATTCAGAAATCCTACTAAGATTAAAAGAATTTTAATCATGAGTAGAGATTGAGTGAAATATGTGATTGAGTACCCTTCAGAAAGGAAAGGTGTGTTTTTAAGAGGCTTGGCTTTTTATTCCCAAAAGTGAATGAAGTCTGAAAAAGTTTTCTATTGACAACAGGAAGGTACCAGCTGTCTGCCCTTGCTCTTTCAGTATTTAGGCCAATGTAATAATTTGTTATTGCTGTATTCACTCTCAAGAGTCTCAAGACTTATTCATTGATTATCTGCAATGTCCTTATCTATTCTTTGTGCAGTTTTATTTTCTATGCATTTAGTGTGATTCTGTTGGTATTTTTATGAATTTCAGAGGTATGTTTTCTTCAAAACTCCTAAAGAAGTTAAACCTCCTGAGGACCTCCAGGACCTTGGTGTTCGATTCTTACAGCCATTTGTGAATCTGTTATCCAAAGGAACATACTGGTGGATGAATACATTCATCAAGACTGCCCATAAAAAGCCAATAGACTTGAAAACCATAGGCAAGCTTCCCATTGCTATGAGAGCTCTGACCAATTACATTCGTCTTAATGAGGCCTTTGAAGCACAGAAGGTGTGCAAAGCATGGAATTATGTCTCTCTGCTTACTCAGTGCTTGCATTTTTAATTACTTTTTATGGAATGAGCATGATATTCTATCAAGAACCATGATGCAAATCAAGTATCCATTGGCATAGCTTTCCATATACAACGAGAACACATACTTGGTGAATAATGAAATTTCTCTACCTAAACATGCATGTCAAATACATTACTGGTTAAATATGTGTAAAATGCATACAGCCTCTATTTTGATGTGAAAAACATTATGGACTGTGTTCACTGAACACTATTTTTCTTCCTAATAAGACCCTGGAAACATTCAATTAGAGAGTCGGTATTAATAAGGTCTTGCAGGACAATTTTTTTTCATGTAATTTCAATTACAGTTTGTTCATAGGAGAATTTGGGGCTGAAACTACCTCAGCTCAAATTAATTTTGACTCCTTGGTAGGAGCTGAGTGTACTTGAGATTTTAAGAGAACTCTTTTGCATCCTGTCTAAAACAAGTGTAGGTTTCTAGTCTCTGTGTTCACCAGAATACAAAAACTATCAGTTCCCTCCCTCTTTTTTTCTTTCTCCCTCAGCAGGCCACAAACAACACACTTATTTGATCCCTATTAAGGGGTAGGAAAGAAATCGTGGTTCTTTCTGTGAAGTGGAGGGGAGTGCAAATTAATGCTTTTTTCTGACTCTATAAAAAGAAATTAAACAATAGTTGTAGTTCCTATGCTTTCCTAGCTCAAATATTGCAAATTATTTTCAATGAATTAAAGCAGCAATAAAAATACCAATCATTTACCAGACCTGAGGTTCACGTGTGACATAATTCTTATTAATTTTTCTTTTATTCTGAACAGAACAAAAGGTCATCATCTCCACAGGGATCCAGATCCATTTGGCGTGCTCTCTGCTGTGCGTTTGGAAGACCCTTACTTCTCAGTAGCACATTCCGAATTCTGGCTGACTTGCTTGGATTCGCCGGGCCGCTCTGCATCTCTGGGATTGTTCACAATGTTGGAAAAGGAAATAACACCATTCGCCCACAGGTACTGTCAACATGTCATAAAAATATAGGAGTTAAAAAAGCAGTGCTATGACTACGTATTGTTTGGCCTCAGTAAAGAAAGTGACTCTGCGATGTATTTTTGAATGCTAGAAATGACAGTATGAATGTACTGCCTGTTATCCACTTTTATACTGTGTTGGAGCAGGTCCAGCAGAGAGCAACAAAGGTGATGAAGGGACTGGAGCATCCCTCTTACAAGGACAGGCTGAGATGGTTGGGCCTGTTCAGCTTTAAGAGACAACTGAGAGGGGACCTCATCAATGTATATGAGTACCTGAAGAAAGGGTGTTGGGAGGATGGAGCCAGGCTCTGCTTGATGGTGCCAAGCAATAGGACAAGAGGCAACAGGCAGAAACTGATGCACAGGAATTTCCACCTGAATATGAGGAAGAACTTCTTTACTGTGCAGGTGACTGAGCACTGGAATAGGTTGCCCAGAGAGGTTGTGGAGTCTCCTTCACTGGAGATGTTCAAGAACTGTCTGGACACAATCCTGTGCAATGTGCTCTGGAATGATCCTGCTTGAGCAGGGACATGGGACCAGATGATCCACTGTGGTCCTTTCCAACCTGACCCATTCTGGGATTCTGTGGGGGGGCAAAATATGTGACCCGTGTATCTCGTCAGCCTTGCATTCTGGAAAATAACCTCATTCAATATAACAGTGAAGCATACCCAGAATGTCATTAATATCATGAGTATTTTATCCGGAATCACAGAATGTTCTGAGTTGGAAGGGACTCACAAGGATCATCAAGCCCAGCTCTTAAGTCAATGGCCCATACAGGGATAAAACCCACAACCTTGGTGTTATTAGTACCATGCTGTAACCAACTGAGTTAATCTTAGGGTCTCAGGTACAGTCTTGAGTAGAGATTGAATCAAGTATGTGACTGAGTGCTTTTCAGAAAGGAAAAGGTGTTTTTACTAGGCTTGGCTTTTCATTTCCAAAAATTAGTGATATCTAAGACAATTAAAGAGGGCTTTTGTCATCATAATAAAATGACAAGTAATTTAACTGTGACAAAGAATTTCCACTAGTGTCTTTGGGGAGGTTAGTTTTGAAAGATCAACTGAAACGCATTGTTAAGGATGCTATTTAAATTAATGTTCTCCAAGAAGAGGCAGATGTATTTCTTGGTTAACAAAAAATAAAAGTGTAACTCAGGAAACATCGTTTCATTATAAGTTGAGGTCACTCAGGCTGGATTTCTATGAGATAGATTATTTTATTTCTGCAACTCACTTAGTGTTTGATGTAAGACTTTATTTCCAAAGTCTGTTGACAGTAATGGAAATATACCCATTCACTCAAGTACACTTTGGATTAGGTGCACTGTAAATATTGAAATACATCAGCTGCATTGCAGGAAATTTAACAAGTGCCTCAGGCTAAAATTAATTGTTTGTCCATTTTGCAATCCTTATCCTAATATTTGGAACTTTAATATAGCAAGTGGGTTTAGTGGAAACCAGTTAAAGCAGGAAATGAGAAAATTGAGACTATAGGGCTGTGTTGCAGCAAAGTACTGTGGAGGTTGCTGAGCTCTGCTTCTTGATAATTTGTTTGGGATACTCTTTCAGCTGAAATTGTATCAAATCACAATCTATGGATTGTCATAGTTAATTTTCCTATAAAAGTGTCTGGTAGTGCTGCTCTGTGAAAAAAATTCCGGTCTGATCCAGATAGGCCCCAAGCAGAGCCTCATCCAGCCTTGGCGTCCTCATTCACTAGCCAAGCAGTAACCTCATCGTTGTCATTTACACTATTTTGGGATCACCTGACAGCAATATTCACTGATGATGATAGTCCAGGAGTGACACAAGGTGGATTTTAGCTTAGCTAAAATGTCTCCAAGAGGCTTTTCCTTCTGTTTTGACCTGGTTTATACACAATTGTTTATACACATTGGTTTTTCTGTTAAGAGGCTAATTACATTAACGTTACAAAATTGCCTTTGCTGGATTAGCTTAAATATCTTCCTAATGAAGGCTTTCTATTCAAACTACCTGTAAACAGGCTGGGGTGTTCAGGAAAACTCCCACATGTATGCACATACCTACCCAATTTGGTCTGCTTTGGAAAGAAATACACCAGCTGTACTGCTAGGAATGTATCTTTACTTGTAATGAGTCAGAAAAAAAAGAACCTTGCTTTATTGTTTGCCCAAGAGGCTCATAGGTGTGAAAAACAAGCTTTCTGACACGCTGTCTTATGAAGGCAAAGATAAGTTGGGGAAAACATTTTGTACCTGATGTGCTGCTGAGTTTGAGGGTGTTGGAAGGAGTTGCCACACAGTGGGACAGAATGGAACAAGCAAAGTAAGCTGTGATTACAGTGGAGGGCATCTTTTACGCATCTCTTACCCATCCAAATCTTAAATAGTTTAGATTGAGGAGATGTTGTATCTTTCAAACAGAAATTCTCTTTGTGAAACCAAAGGCAAAGAAATATAAAATTTGCTCTATTCTTCAGACCCTGTGTGACAGATATAAACCACCTTGGAGCCTGAACTCTGAGATCACATGGGTGTCACAGGCAGTATTAACTGCTTTAGTTAGTGCTGCAGTTAGTCAGAGCATGACAGCGTCTTAAATTCTGTCACGCTCTTCATGTTTATTTATAACTCCAGTATCAATATTTATGCACACCCCAGAACATTCTTATGACATGAATTTCTCTGAGTGTTAATCATTTCTCACCAAAGAAGAGACTGAAAGAATGATAACCATTATATTTTGCTGGTAGCATCTTCCACGTTGCAATGTTGGGATTAGCAGTTCCACTATTAGGAGTATCTGCTGACATAACACATTCAAAGGATACACCAAATTCATTATTTAAAAAGCTCTGAAAGTCATAGGGCCCAGTGTAGCAAAAAGCCCAGAAATGACATTTGAAACTGTGTTACTCTGGGTTCTTTAGGTATTTAGGTAGTGGCCTTTTGCTCAGCCTTACACTGGTTAGAGCCTACTGGCACTTATAAAAAGGAACCTTCTCCTGAAGTTGTCAGGAACGGGGAACACTGAATGTCCCCGAATACATTTCTGAAAATAAAACATCTAATTAGTTTCATCAACTTCTCAAACAAGGTTATTTGCCTTAAATGCAAAAGGTTTGGTAGATGTTCAGTGATTTCTCTGTGTTTCCTACAGGCTGACAAGTGTAGGTAGACAGTTATTGTAGTTTAAACACAGAGGTGCTCAGTGACTTTGTAAACCATAATGGCCTGATAATGCATCTGAGACTTGGCAAACATCTTGGTGCTTTCACCAAGTGTGTGTGTGATGTTTATGTATACATGTTTGTCTTCCTTTTCTCTCAAGGGAGTATTAGATGAAATAATGAGAATATTCATCTCACTTTTGCTGCTTGTCTATTATATAAAGTTTTGATGGGAAACAATGCTACACCAAAATGTCATTGCTAGAAAAGTATGATTTGTCAAACTTGTTTTTGGAAAAAATGGTGTTCTTTTACATACAGCAAAAAGTAGTATTGGCTGCAGTAATTAGCACTACTTGCCAGTTGTGTATGTAGGACAGCACTGAAATCATGTTGCTTCCCTTGCTGCTTTTGATAGAATACAGCACAATCTCTAATCTTTGTGGTTCATGACTGATACTGCTCTGACCTTTCTCTTTGTTGTTATATGAGTATCTTTGACAATCGGGACCTCCCAGTGTCGCAGATTTGTATGTTATTCTAACTTTGCCATCATAAGAAGCATTTTAAAGTTTTTCATGTGTTAGAGGTGCCACTTTTTCTTGGATGATCATATATTGAAATAAAAAGAATTCCCAGTGAAGAACTGCTAAAATAATACCAATTAACTCCTCAAACATGATTTTTCTTTTTCTTGTTTTTTTCTTTTTTTTTCTGCAAAACCTCCAAGTTTTTCAGTTATATACGGTTTCACCTTCTGTTTAGTATTTGAATATATATATGCTGCATGGGAAACTAGAGGTGGCTCTTAAATGGCACAGTTAAGGACTGGGGCCTTGTGGTTAGCATGGGAGAAGACTTGGTTGTTCTTATAATTTTTCACTGTATTTCCATATATTTTCCAAATGTGGTATATTTTCTAAAACTTCCGGGCTAAACTGAGAGCCTTAAGTCTTCCTCGTTATTCGTCAGAGTTACGGCAAGAATAAATTTACAAGGACCCTTAGATCTTGCAAGGGTCAAAGTTGAATTGAAAACCTGAACTTGTAAGACTGTAAATAATCTGGAAGAAAGACTCTTTTTTACTGTAGTGTAGACATTTGTAATATATAATGCTGCTGTAGCCTATTTGAATTACTATGGGATAAGTTATAATTTAGGACTCTAAAATCCCTTTACGGTGCAAATAGCTAAAATTGCAGTTAAATTCTCTTTGTCTGAACATAATTGCTGACATATCCTGTAGTTGTTCAGAGTTTTGCAGTTGATACAGATTTAAAGAAATGGGTATGCCCAGTGATTACTTACGTTCTATTGATTTGACTTGGGAGGCTGTATGCTTGAATAACTTTCTCTGAGGGCTAATTCATTAGTGAGTTCACTGGCCCTACAGACTGCTGAAATGGTTATGTGCATCAAGTCTGGTTGAAGTCAAAGCACCTAGCTGAATTGGAAATATTATCACCTGACAATTTACCTTTGGAAGCAAGAAATAAATTATTGAAGTAGTTTTTATTCCCTGTTTTCAGAGCGTGAAACTGGGCACTGTTAAGTATCACTTGGAAATTTTCCATGTTCGAGTTCTTGCACGTACTTGCATAAAAGTAGTATATGACTATCAAGATGCTTCCTTATGGAAATAGGGAACAAATATTTACAGGAATGGAATCATAATTACTTGCTTTTCTTTGTGTCCAGCCTTGGTCTGAATCTCAGTGCTTGTAATAAATGTGACATAAGTGGGAAAAGGCAGTAAACCTTAGCAATCTACCCAAGTCTGTTTGTCTTGCACAGTAGACAAAATTACTTTGACAGCTGCTTAGTTTGGCCAACATCTGAGGAAGAGTTAACCACAGTTGGAAGTGATCAGGTATTTATGGGAATGACTGTTTGGTGTTGATGAATAAGCTGCCAGGGACCTCAACAGATGCTTAGACCATTGTGTGGACAGATCAGACTAGTTTCCTCTCATGAAAAGGAATATTGCTATGTGAGGTGGGAGACACTGTCTCAGGAAACTTGTCCTGGATGTGTTACTATAAGCATTCACTCTTCTCATGGAGTGAAACAAGAGATCCTTTCTAAAACAGTTTTGCGCTTTATCGTATTTACTTGTTTGCGAAGCAAGGCATTTCTCTGCTTTAAGACCTAAAAATCACCCTACTGATATCAAGGGTATAGATAGTGTTCCCACAGGAGCACTGGCAAAAGCAATCATGAATGCCAAAAGATGGAGTAAAAAGAGATGGAAAAGATACCCTAAGACTTCTGTTTTTCAGGAAGATGAAGTGACCTATTGGGTCACCACAGCTGAAAGGACTTGCTCTTCCTCCTTTCACATTCCTTGTCACCTCTGCTCCTGTTTTCTTCTTTGCTCTCTCTCTGGTACTGAGTGGGCACTTCCGTGGTCTGATTTGGCCTGTTATTTTTTCCTGGGATGATTTTCTTATGTCAGTGGCTCAGGAAGAGGTCCAGTTAGCTCCCCAACTAGTGCACAGTGAACAACAGAAGTGTGCAGGTTGGAGCAAGCCAGGTGCAAGGGGGGGTAGAGAGAAGCTTGTTCCTTTTCCGGTTGGCTCAACCTCACCTTACAAAAGAACAGCTTTAAAAACTAAATTTAACCTCTGTATGAACTTGCCATATGGGGTTTCTATGAAGTTAACTACAAGGTGCAGATCAGATCTAATAAAATGTACAGACAGTGAGAGTTTGTGAAATATAGTTTATTAAGTGTTATAGCAGGTGTGAAAACATCAACAGCAAAGAAACTATGCAGGCAAGAAGAAAGGTGCTGAGCAAGGAATACAACAGGAGTGTAAATGGCAAGAAGCCCTCTGAAAGGGAATAGAAAGAGACCTCTTCCTAATTTTGCCTTTAATGGAAGCACAAGTTAGCAATCAAAGTTTAGAAGAAGCCAAGAGGAGAAAGAGGAACACAGATATTTTAGTTTCAGAAGGCTTCCAGAGGTGGGCCAACCTCTCAACTGGTTGTAGCACCAAGGGTGTTGGCTTGTTAAATATAATCTGGAATAAATGCACTGTTTTCCCATTAAGCTGTAGACATGCTTCAAAATGCACTTGGGTCATCTCATGAACTTGCTAGAAGGTAATGAGCATAAACAGAAGTTCTGAACAAAATGCTGCAGCCCAAAATAATGTGCATAGTTCCAGGATTTTTTTTTTTACAAGTTCTGAAGGTCGTTTTTAGTGTTCAGAAATCTGAGGTGTTCAAATAGTGAGAGTAATTTCTCTGAAAGGATGTTAACTATTCCTTTGTGATGATGGGCACTGCACATCTTTTAACAAATGACCATATGGAGTTACTCAGTGTCCTAGAGTTTTGGAAGGATGTCAGAAATCCTATAAATGTCATTCTGCATTTAAATGAAGCTTACTGAGTTGGCACGTTGTGGAAGTGTTTCCTTGAATTGATAAACTGTGAAGTTTCAGGCAAGGTTGGGAGCATTTTCAAAGTAATAAATGGGGATTATCTCTGCTTATTAGTTATGCAAAGAAGGTAATGAAATTATCATTGCACCTGATTTCTAACTTTCTTTTTTTCTTATAGACCAAAATTCTTGGTGTCTTCTTTATTTCGTCTCAAGAGTTCCTGTCCAATGCATATGTTTTGGCTGTACTCTTATTTTTTGCACTTCTATTGCAAAGGACATTTCTCCAAGCATCATACTATGTTGCTATTGAAACAGGAATCAACTTGAGAGGCGCAATACAGGTACCCAATATATTACTGATTAACCTTTTCATACACTTATACATGTATTTGTAAATAAAAATTATAATTATAGTTGTTAAATTCTGAAACGCTTCTCTCCTGAAATGTACTGAATGTAACCGTTGCCTTTAAAAATTGTTAGCTTGGACCTGCATTCTGTTTTTTCTGGATCTTATTTGATGATTTTATATAAACACTTATTTTTAATATCTAATGTTGTATTTCTTCTTACCTTTAACCACAAATTTGCTGAGAGCAAAACTGAATGTAAATTTTGAAAGAGTTTTGGATGTGAGCTGCACCTCACCCAACTCAAAGGCATTTTTTTGTAGCATCACATCCCCTGCAAATAATACAGCTTTAAAATCTCTTGTAAATAAACTTTGGACAGAAGGATAGGTCGTATTCCCAATGTATAGAGTAGTTCTTATGGGTCATGCCACAAAACCTACCAGCCATTGCAGGATCTGTAATTACGGAACATGAGTAAGATTGCTGAAGTGGAGTCCGTAATCACTGTAGCATACGAAATTCAAGTTTTATGTAGCATACAAAGCTCTGTGCCTGGAAATGAGAGAATTTGGTGTAAGATTACAACATGTGATTGCCAAATGCACTGGCTGAAACCTACCCTCTGACAGCCTGAAAGCCAGCCTTATAAGTTATACTATTTATCCACTGAGCCACATGGATCCTGTGGGGAGTCTGTGATAGATGGATGCTTTCAATAGCAGCCTAATTGTTTAATTCTCTTTTGATCTTACACTTGGAAGCACTTGTCAGCTGCCAGGCTTCTGGATTCCATCCATTGGTTTTCCCTTATTACAGTGAAGTAGAAAAATCCTGAAGGAATAAAATTTGATCCAAAAGATACAAAAAAAAATTGCATGTCTTGTATCAAGCGGAAGAGCTGCAACTCACTGAAACCACAGCAAGTGTAAAAGGGGAATTGTTGGAAAATATCACTAAATTAATTTTGTTGAAAAAAAGTTTTCTGTTCTCTGCACTGGATGTTACACAGAGGCCCAGTTGGACTATTGAAATTGGAAAATTTTTATCCATCACTCTAAGCAGTAAATTAGTGTTAGTAGCACTTACTGTGCCGGTAATTTTACCCACTTTTTTTCTTTTAATCTTTTCTCTCTCTTCCTCTCCTGTGTAAACCTGCACCTCTTCAATGTGCCCTTTACGACTTTATGCTTTGTGATGGACAGTCATTTGATCTGAAGGCACTCACTGAATGAAGGTGCCTCCTGTCAGCTCAGTTTCATGATGGCAAAGCCTTTTACCAAACCAGCTGGTAAAAGTACACTTTCATTATTGTGTATTAAGTTACTTTCCTACATGGTGCCTGATTCTGTACTGAGGCACCTGTTTAATTCAGTACAGAATTGTACCTGTGACATTAGTTGTCTGTGAATTAAAGTTTATAATGGGACTGAGCTCTCTAGCCAAAATGTAGCAATGTTCTCAGTCAGGAACATTATTCTGAGGGTTGGATGGGACCTAAATCAGTTGCCAGAGAAAAATAACAAGGTTTATAATGTCTTGATGATTGTATATTGAATCTAATAATACATTATTAGTGCTAGTTACAGCAAGAGCACTCTATGGATGTGCTGGAGGTATAAATCATAGTTGCTAATGTGGTTCTTGGGCATTTTGGGTAGTAAAGGTTTCATTCTCTTATTGATGCACAGGTATGCAAAAATGGAGTACTTAGACAACCGTGATGCAGCTACTGTGCTTTGTGTTGGTGAAGAATAAGTAGCTTAAAATTTTACATCATAACATAAATGGCCAAACTCAAAGTTCTTAATTTAATTTACTGGAAATGTTGTTTTCCCTCAACATGCTGCACATGTGCTTTAGATGAAGCTAGAAAACTCATTTTATTTCTATATGCTAACACCTTTTGATATCTCTTCCAGACAAAAATATACAATAAAATTATGCAGCTTTCAACTTCTAACATGTCTATGGGGGAGATGACAGCAGGCCAAATCTGTAACCTGGTTGCCATAGACACAAATCAGCTGATGTGGTTCTTTTTCCTCTGCCCTAACCTTTGGGCTATGCCAGTACAGGTAAGGTGATAGAATGTGCTTTTGTTCTTAATGCGCGTCAGTCTGTACTGGCTCATTGTGTATGAATTTTATGAAAGTAGAGATAGAAGTTAAAGAATAATTGGAAATAAGATTTCAAGCTATTAGCATCTAGAAACGTTGCATGTAATAGATTTCACATCTGTGGCTGGACTCTAGGTATTTAGGATTGTATTAGAATCTTGACTGCTGCCAAATATGCTCTGCATTTGTAGCAAGAATTTATGGGGTGCAGCAGATTGCAATCCATTCATTTATTACATCAGGGAGGTTAACTGGAAGTTATTGCAATCATTTGTCTTCTGAATCCCAGCAGAAGCAAGAGAAATAACACTTTATTCACAAATTTGATTGCTTAGAGATGATCCTTTAGACATCCCTCAAAACTACTGCTGCTTCTTGGATGACAAATTCCACAGTTCGGGGTTTTTTTATTATTATAACATGTATGAAATAGTTTTGCTACTTTATTCTCTCTGGTGTCTTTGGTCTCCTGTCTCTAAATACCACTCTCATCCCTTCAGTCCCCTTTCCCACATGGATAGAAGGGAACAGATCACTGTTCTGAGTCACACCCAATTGCCTTGTCACTCCTGGTCCCATGTCCTGTAGCCTTTTGTAATACCCAGTGAGATACAACTGTGTCTTATCAAGTCTTTAGGATGAGGAAAGCAAAGTCCTATCTCAGAGGGTACTTCCATGATTGATTTAAATTGATCTTAAGCCTATTCACTTACAGAAACAGGAGTTTGTGTGTGATGTCCAACATGGACACATGCTATTTTTACCTTCTTTGGTGTTTCAGCTCAGTGGATTGTACGTTGTGTCACATGAGCTTGTGGAAGCACTGAAGAACAAATCTGATCAAAACTAGTCTTTTTTTTTTTTCCAGCGAGGTGGTATTCCTCTGAGTCTGTGAAGTGGTGAATCTCACTGGATGGGCATGTGATTAAGTCTGTTCTAGTAAGGGAGTAGACAGAGTAAGGGAGTAGGAGGTCAGAGCAATCTCAGTAGAACCCTGAATCATTTTTCAGAGTTCACACTTACTGAAACAAGGAGGAAGAGCAGATTACTTAGTTTGTAAGAGCCAGTATTTTAACAGAATTGTAGAAACATCCTACAATTCCATTTAAGAATTTCCTGAGAAAGCTGACAGTAAAGCACGTAGTTTCATCTGGAATTAACATGGTGACCTGTAAGTCTTTCTTCTTTCTTCCAGGTACTCATTGTATTTTGTTAGCTTACTTCAATGCTAGAAGTAAATATAAACAGAAGAGGCAGTAGAGTTTAAATTCACTTGGTATTTTCTAGAATATAACTTAGTTTCAAAAACATGATGAAAACTCCATTGTGTTCATGTCACAAAGGCAGTCTGGTTTCAGCACCACACAGAGGCTGATTTGACTGGTGGGGAAGTCAGAAACCTACAAGTAATCTACCCAGGATCTTTGCATTTTGGATTGCCTGCTCTTGCATGAAAACTAAATAATTTTCCTGAGACTCTATATATAGAGTCTGCAGCTGGCAGATCATGTTTCCAGTCACTTTCTAACATGGCTTTAGCAGTGTTGTTTAGGAGTTCCTAAATATATAGTTCTGATACTATAAGATGTTAAGCATATAAGAATATTACATTGAAAAGCTGAGAATGGGGAAGAAAAGCCAACCATTCCAGTAATTATGTAAACTGCACCGATGTCAAAGAGTGAGATGTTACAGTGCTGGCCATCAGGAGATCTGGATTCCTTTCTGATTATAAAGATATATATTAGAATTGAGTTGATTTTATAGTTGTTCCTGTCAAAAATAAGAGATTTTGGTCAAGATGCTACAGATCAGATAGGCACATCCTCCTTAAAAGCAAGTCTTAAAATCATCTGATGCCATGGTCAGCTAGATTAACTTCCTAACCCGAAAAAAACCCTCTTGACTTATTTTTTAGCATCAGGATGGCCTCCCTGAAATTAAAGGGCATGGGGGTGAGAGGGGGGAAGGCAATGGGAACCAGATTGTTTCAGAGTGGGTGGGGAAAAAAAGGTGATCAATGAATGTATCCTAATAGTGGTGTCTAATTGCAAAAGAGAGGACAACTATAATGAAAAGAAACTGATATGAAATATCATAGTAAATATGGCTACATATTGGCAGTTTGTTAGTAATAATTAGGATACCAGGGAGACCCCTGGTGGCCTAGTGGTTAGCGTGCAGGACTTTCACTGCTGCGACCACGGGTTCAAATCCCGGTCTCCTGGCCTGATGGAGGTCGTTAGCCCTGTGTGGCCATCCATCTATGAGAAGGACACTCTAAACAAACCTACGTCCTGAGGACCTCACTGCCATTGTCCAAGCTTGCTTGGCCCCGGCAGATGAACCTTAGGATTATTAGGGTGGGCTCAGTTCAGCGCAGGCTGTGTCTCACCTAAAAAATCCATTGCGCAGGCTGGAAAGGTAAAAGACCTTTCCCCAAATCTTCGTTCGCGAAGATGGGCCATTATTATTATTTATTATTAGGATACCAGGGTATTTTCATTCCACTTACTGGAAGTACCCTGCAGTAAGAAGCCAGTGATTGTATACTGCTAAAATGATATTGCTGAAAGAGCTATGAGGCGTTAAGAAGAGTCCACCCCTTTAATGTTAATGTTTAGGGTACAATTATCCCTTCAGCTTAGTCTCCATTGTAAGTCTGTTAGTAAAACAAACAATGTACAAAGTACCAATTTCATGTACATCTCTTTTATAAGACCTCTCTGGCACCTCAGTGTAGGCAGCGCTTTAGTGCAACTGAGAAGTAATCCAATTTCACTGCATATTCTGTAACAACATTTTACTCTAATGTGCCAGAAGTCATGGGCTCATAAAGACTTCCTGTCTGCTGAAAATATTATTATATTTGCATTAAAATTCCCCCCGCAATGTTCCCTACCAGATGAGGACGATCAGTGCCAGAGCGTGCTCCTGTTTTGTGGATGGTGCATGTATTGCCAAAAACAATGAGTCACGTTGGTCACAGAGGTTTCTTCGAACCATTTTCCATAGGATTCATTCGGTACCTTGCTTTATGAGGTAGTGAAAACAACTGCTTGAGAGATGGCTAATAATAAGTTGCACAAACTCCATTATTATTTAAAGCAGATTTTTAATTGTTTTGTAGCTCTTAATCTAACAATCAATATTTCAACATCTGCTGTGGATCTTGTAGTAGCCATTCATAACAAGTCAGGTTTTCTATACAGTCCTGATAATTTGAGCCCCATCTTTGCTCTGACTGGAGTCAATGGGAGCTTTATAATTGCTGTAAGTTACTGTTTGAATGTTATTGAAATCCATGAGAAGAGGCCCAGGAATGCCAATCAGTTGAAAGATGCCCTCAGTAGGTTTGGCTCAAACCCTGGGAGCAAAATGAGGCCCTATAAAGGCTTTCTCCCCACGCCCCCATTTTATAAACACCTTTGTTTGAATTCATTGTGGTTATTAAAAAATCCTGTGTTCTCATATCTCTGGCTCATTGGTAGGGATAGCTTACACTGGTAATAAAAGGATATTTGTCTCTTTCAAAACTGCCCACAAAGCAGTTTTTGACTGAAAGTGTTTGCTCTCCTCAGTAAATAATCAAGACAAAATAACCAGAGCTATTGGTGAGCTTCTTGCTCCTGATATATATCTCTGACAGGGAAGAGTTTTGGGATTTTGATGAAAGGGAAGCAAAGTCTTCCATTACACAGGTTGTTTTTTTTTTTAAATATGATTGTTACCTTCTCAGGAATATTAATAAGAGCCTTCTTATCTGCCAGATACTGTCCTCCAGAGTTCAGATATTGTCTGTATACTGTTTATTCTTGACTCTGTCCTTTATGATACGATATAGAACTACATTCAATTAGATTTACAGATTTCAGCACTTTACAGATACAAGTCTTCACATATTTTTTTTTCCATACATGCTGAATATATTTTAAAGGTTTGCCCTTATTATCTCATTATAAAGAAGATAAATGGGATTACTTTAGCCTATTGGAAACAGGGAATTTTTATTGTGAAGACTGTCCTCTCAATAGCTAGGATGACAGGTGGAAAAGCATCCTTGAGCTAGCAGCTAACTCCCTCAAGATCCAGCTGGAATAGCTTTCTCCTTGTCTATGTGAGAAGCTGATTCTCTCTTTTTAGAACCAGGCAGTCCCATAATGTCCTTGACAGTGAAGCAGTAGCGAGGGAAAGCAGGAAAGCAGATAGTCAGTATTCTGCAGTGGCTGCACACTGTTCAATGCTTACCTGTATTTTGAGTGTCTGGAGTGTCTATCCATGATGAAGCCATTGGGAATGAATATCTTGATCTGTAAAGACCAAGACCATTTTGTGTTTTGGAGGAGAGCTCTGCCAGGGGTATCCTTGTGTGTTTTGTTTGGCTTCATACACTCATGAATTTCCTGACTTCACATGGAAGCAGATTAGTCACTAAAAGATTTTTAATTTGCAATTTAACCTTGCCTCTTACTAGATTTGGGGTGTGTATACAATAGGATTTTACTTTCATGCTATTGCATGTTTCCTAAGAACTGTGGCTCATTTTGAGGATCATGTTTTAGTTTAGTTCAGTTTTGGAGAGATATAAAGGGTTCTTAAGAGAAAAAAAAAGTCTGTATTTTCTCTCTGTGTCTTAAATTATTGAAAATGTCAATACAGAAATGTGGAAACTGGGGAGTCCTTTTCTTCATGGAAACACCAAATTCCCATAAATGTGTGGAAATAGATGGGCATATAACTATTGAGCTTTGAAATGATGAAAGATAGTGCTTCTGTGAAGGTCATGAGACTGTGCAAACATAGCAAGAGTAGTAGATAACACTTTAAGAAAATTTCCAATTATTTTTTTAATTAAGGGAAATTATGTATGAAATTAACTTTCTATCACTATGTCTTCTGATTAATTTATCAGCCACATAGTGTCAATGCTGCAGAATATTCAGGATTCAGTCATTAGAATAGTGTTAATTAACAATGGTAGCATGTATGTATTGTTTGTGTTTATTGAACTGCCTCCAGTAGCCCTCTCCATCCAGACTGTGGCTTTATCTGTAGATTCTTATATATGCAAAGACAAACCTTTGTTTTTTAAGCTGTTTCTTTAACCTTTTTTTAATAGTCATTGTGAGTCTGGCACTGTAGATCCTTAGAAGATATCCTTTCCAGTTGACTTGAGAGATTATTTGAAGGAGAGGTTCTCACTGGTGTAATTATGATGTTCCTTTGTTTTTAATGTGCTGGTCAGCAATAATGTCATCTTAATGTTTGCAAGATCAGTTGTATTTATAATAACATTTCATATTAGTTTCTATAGTAATCAAAGAAGCATTCCTTCTTGTGGAAGTCCCAATGTTGCAGATTAGTGAGTTCTTACTAAACTGGGAGATGTAATTTCTTCTCTGGTGTAAAAATACCACAATGTCAAAGAAGAAACAAAACCATAAATAAAATATATGAATCATATATGTGCCTATATATTTTAAAATAAAATATAATATATATGTAAATTATAAATAAAATATAAAATATTTTTACATGCATGCTATGTCATCCAGCCAATGGGAAAAATATTTTATAGTGACTCTAAAGGGAATACCTCAATGTGTTACTTGGAAGTATTTTTAAATAAAATTTTATTTAAAAGGGGTTTTAATTTTTTTTTTTTAATAAAGTTCTTTTGAATAGCTGTGAGAGTTAAATTATAGAAGATACACAAACCTTGTACAACCTTCTACGGGGCATTATGGGGCATCTGTGAAACAGAAATATGCAGAATGCATAATTTGGGGAGGAGCACTGGGTGAGTGTCTGGTCCTCTGACAGAAGGTCCTGACTGATCACACTCGCTGTGCCAGCGATGTAGAATATACAACATTTGGTGTAGGGTGTAACTGCAGTGGCTGTTGGTTTGAACATGGTGTCTGGTTACCCTGTAATTGGTGTTTGTGGTGCATACCCAAAGTAAAGCCAAGACCTTTCCCTCACTTTCTTTTCTCCCAACAGATAATTGTGGGAATTCTTCTGCTCTACTACCTTCTTGGAATCAGTGCCTTAATTGGAGCAGCAGTAATCATAGTCCTTGCACCTGTTCAGTACTTTGTAGCAACAAAACTGTCACAGGCCCAGAGAAGCACATTGGTAAGTGCCTTCAAACTCTTTCGTGATATAAATATCACCTCTGGTAATTATGCGTTGGTCTGTGTTTGGAATTACAAAGCTAACTGTGGACATTGACCCAGAACTGCTTCTCAAATATTTTGTAGTGTTCAAGGATGTAAAGTTCAAGAATGTGGAAATATGATAAGTGTAAGCAGTAAAAATGTATTTTTGGGGGTTATATTTCTCAACAAATATGTTTCCTAAGAGAAAAAAAAATCTTAAGAGTCTTCTAACTTGCAGATGTAAAGGGTCAGTAACATTGACTGAGATGGCTCTGTGCAGTCCACAAATAAATGAATCATGCAGGGCAAGCTGTCCAAGGGCAAAGGAGGTAGGAATGCTGCATCCAAACTTGGACCCCAGATGTGAAAATCTATCAAATGGATTTATTTAAACTAGCTCCATGCCATCCTAACTCCCACAGTGTGGACCTCAACTGGGGAGCTTAGAGGTCTGCTAAGTCACGAGCTGTTCCTTGATCCCTCATTTGGCTTGTCTATAATTTGAATTGCCTGCATCACTGCCGAGAAAGTTACTTTGATTCACTGGAATTACTATGCCCAGCTGCTCTGAACCTTATTCCCACTTTCAGCGACTGTTGCACTGCCAAGGAAGCCATAGGAACTTGTAGTGGAGCCAGAGAACTTGCTGAAATCTCTTCCACCACAAATCATTTGTGGTAACGAGAGTTATTTGTGCACCTTCCTGTGTGACCAGTAATGCCTTCCCATCAGCAGCATGCGCCCTTCCAGAAATGTGGACAGCATTCATCCCCACAGCATCCAAGCAGACAGTCGATGTCACCTAGAAATTCCTGCAGATGGGAGCAGTGCTGTTTGTGATAGAAATGTGTGTGCTGTGCAGTCTGGCGTGGTACAAAGATGCTTGAGCCAGCCTGAAAAATGGAAACAGTGTAACTTCCAGTTACACTTTACTGGAAGTATAACTTTACCAGTGTATGACTGTGCCTGAGCCAACTGTTCCTGCTTGGAGCCAAGGCTCCTGACGGGATCACAACTCCTTGCTAATGTGGCCAGACTGTTTCGATTGTTTCCATGTCATGTTGGCTGGTCAGAGCAGTGCCCAGTCATAGCTTGTCTGTGTGTTCTCGTCTCCTCTGGCTATTGTCAGTGTCCCAGTTGAAAATCCAGCCAGTGGTGTAAGTCCTGAGAGGCAGCCTTGCAAGTGATCAGAAACCGGACAGAGGAGTAAAATTTTCGGGCCAAACTATGTGATTTAGAAGTGCAAACCAACAGCCTTTGCCCTTGAACTCTAGGGAAGCTCATCTCTGTGACACACTGCAACAGAACATCTGAATGGACAGAACTAGTGATGCATACTTTACTGATTACAAGGGGCTGCATACAATTGTTGTGTCATCCTTATTCTTGGGGAGCAGGTGTTTTAATTGTACTCTTCAAGTAAATGTGTGTGTAAATGTTGCAGGAGTACTCCAACGAGAGATTGAAGAAGACAAATGAGATGCTTCGAGGCATTAAGCTACTTAAACTCTATGCTTGGGAACACATATTCCACAGCAGTGTGGAGGAAACCAGACAAAAAGAAATGACTAGCCTCAAGTCTTTTGCCCTTTATACCTCCATATCCAGTAAGTCTCTTCATTCTAATCCACTGCTCAGCTAAGTGCTACTGCATTATTAGCTACTAATGAGTTTACCATTCCTCTGTCAAGATTATTTCTGTTGCTTTAGGCTCTCATCTGTACTCCTCACTTCCCATTTAGTCAGACTCTCCATTTATTTCAGTAGAATTCTGCTTGTATGGGAAATATGCCTGAAAGAGAAAGTCAATGCTTCATAGCATTGACTTTTTCTGGAGAAAAGCTTTCAAGGGACTGTTTCACAGACTACCTTCAACAAGCAGTATTCTCCTCTATAACGCAGCATTCAGGAGGAAGCCTTCATTGACATTTCTTTCTTTTCTTTTTCCCTGCATTTTTAACAGTACAGAGCATGCAAATCATAATGTGTGACAGGTATTGTCTTTACATTGAGGCTCCAACAGATGGTACTTACACTTTCTTACTCAAAATTTGGATTTCTTATTAAAATAAGTGATTCTTAAAACCATTTCTATATCCTGGAAAGAAAAAATATGAGCATCCTGGCAATTTCACCATTCTGTATCCAGATTCTTTTCTCTTGTTATTTTTGAACTGCTTTAAGATTTTATTATGCTTTTAAAAAGACCTATGGCATATTGAACTCTGTATTTGAGGAGATTATATGCAACACCTATATAATTGCTACTGTAATACTTTAGAAATAATTAGTAAAGTCACACTGAAGAATGCTGTTCATATAATCTGTGAGATATTAATGAAATGGAAAATTTTAGCAAGAAGTTTTCAAATGCTACAAGGTACCTGTACAAATACCTTCTAGAATAATAAGAAAGACTAGTCCATAGAAAAATAATTTGCAATTTGGTTAGTATTATTTGATTTCTTTCACCCAAGACACAGACAGCTGAATTTATTCACTGACAAATGATCACATAGGTAATGCACTCTAAGGGAAAGATCCTGATCCCACTGAATGTAACTGACGTTAAGTTGAGGTATTCATTGACTACTGAGATCAGAATTTCTCTCTGGGGATCCTAAGCTCTCTGGTCTTGGAGAGGGGTTTCTGTTTTGACATAAAACAGATTTTATCTGAAGTTTGTGAGACTGGAAACTCAATCTTGCACCCAGATCAACAGAGATGGGTTCCCTTTGTTGCAGTGCTTCATGTGCCATTAAAATCTATTTATAGTCAGGGCCATGGGTTCAGCTGTGGGACCGAAGGAGCTGTGGAGGCTTATTAGATTTTAAATCCTCACAGTTTGTAACACTAGGAAAAGGTGTATTCATCCCAAGAGTACTGACTATTCTGTAAAGAAATAATTACATAAATAAGAATATGTATTATTAAAAAAAAATCTAGGTATTTACTGATGCTTCTTGAAATGTTCTGAGTTTTCAATTGCATTTTTGTTTTGTATTATATGTGATATTTATGTATTTGCAAGACACAGGAGATAACTTCTCAGCTTGGGGTAAAGCAGTGCAGCTTTATGTTGATGGTGCACATAATTTTGGTTTATAAAGGGTTCTTACTGTTTCAACCTAGGAGTTCCTTACACCCTCTGACTTTTGCAGAAATTACACTGATCTTTAAAACCTTGCAGTTTAGCAGACTAAAAAGGGGACATAAATACAGGAGAACCTTCCCTTTTTTCTTACCATAATTAGAATGACAGGCGTAATCTGCCCAAAACATGTTAGCTAATATTGTATGGACATATGTTAAGGAAAAAAAAATAAAAGGCAGAAGAGGACCAAGATTTTATGTTTTTGTGATCAAGAGGAAGGCAAGATGGTAGAACACTAAGAAAGCACAGTAGAGATTTTTATATATACTTTTTTAACATACAGCTTCAAATAGACTCTGGAATTCTTTTCTAAGTACACTTAGTTATTAACAGGAATGAAAGAATGTGGTTGGAGTTATTTTATTCATAAGGAATAGATTTACAGTGGATCACAGAAAATATACCTAAAAGTTTCAGGGCGATGTTGGCTAAACCAAAAGAAAATTCCATTTCACGACCACATGGAAATTGGATCTCATGTGCCTCACCCCTGTGCCTGGATCCAGGTTGTATGTATATGGAATTGTTCATGTCTGCTAAAAAAGCTATAATAGAAATTAGCTCTTCTTATATTTTAACGAAACACACCCACCACAGTCAACACTGTATTGCAGCTTTACAGGATTTAGTATAGACTATTCAGGAAAAAAAAGAAATAGAAAGGAGTGGTTTTCCTACTCCTGTGATTTTTTTGCTTCATTTGTAAGAAACAAAATAACTCCAGACTTTCTCACAGGAAAATAACACTGGTTAGTACCCTAAAATATTCAGAACCAGCTGAATGTTTTTCCCAGTTTTCAGTCTGCCTTTTTCCAGTAACAGAGTACTTTTGACTGGATCTAATTAAATAAAAAGTCTTCGCTGCAAAATAAATTCATTTTAGAAAATATTCTATTATTCTGGACACTAGCATAATTGAGAAAATAAATAAATAAAAGGAAAACAACCCCCAAATTCCAGTGGCTCTTATTTGTTTGCTTAAAAGAAATTTGAAGTCCTTGGATGTACTTGTGTTCTCACATAATACCAAAATTCAGATCAACTTCTTGAGAGCCACCAAGTACCTTAGATGCCTTAAATGCAGCATGCTTTGCCAACCCTACAGAATGTTTAATCCATCCAGCTTTGTATTTGACAGGTACCATCTTGTACTGTAGGCAGAAGCTTTGCTAGATTCTCTCATCAGATTCATTACTAAAAGCCAACTCATGTACTTCAGCAGTCTCAAAGGCAAGGATTTGATGTAATTCAGAAGGATATAGTTGCAGGCAGCAAATTTCCCTGTTTCAAAATTTCTGTACTGTAACCACATCAAGTTGATACAAAGTGTGAAAACTGGGCAGGAAGTAGCATCATTAGGAGAAATGAGTGTCTGGCCTGAAGCTTCTTTGTATTCCAACACAGAAAGAGCATTTTCCTCAGAAAAATACAGGATTTTTTTTCCCTAGGGTGAGGTCTAAACTATTAATTTCTAGGCTTTAATACATATTAGTTTTTCAAAGCCTAAGCTTTTATTTTGCAACTACACACACCAACATACCTATATTTTCAAATACTCCCCTCTGTCAAAGAATTAGAGCTACATGAAGTAACTACAAATAGTTATAATAAAGCTATAAAATAAAGCTATAAAGTATAAAATAGCTATAAAATAAAGCTATTTTGTATAAGCATGAGTGCAGAATTTATAAGTATGTTACAGGATTTATTAAATATAATCTAAATGTAGGTAAAAGAAACATCTGATGGTATATAAAGTCCTTCAGGGGCTTATGCCCAGCAAAGGACGGCCAAACAGTATTTGTGGATCTAATGATGACACTTCAGGTGAAGTAATTGGGAAGAGCTTTTACTGTTTAAACATTGATAGGTAGGAAAGAAAGACAGGCACAGTTTAAACACAAAACAAGTGGCTAGCCTTTTTCTTTTCTGTTACATCTGTACTGATCTTTGAATTCCGGTTTAGCCATAAATTCTATACTCTGTATGGTTTACTTACATGAAATACAGTTGAGCGAAGGTCAGAACTTAAAAGATGATGACTAAATAATATCCTCAGGTTGTGAAAGAGGGGACAGATGTGCAGGGTAAGATCCATAGCTCCAGTTCTGACTTGAGCTCCCAGAGGATGACTGGTTATTACTGCACTCTTAACCCATATTCCCGCCTGATCTAAGAGAGGGCCCTATATAGAAATGGTATTTGTTTACTTCTCCCCATGGATCTGTTTAATAACCTCTGAATGCTGCATGAATAATGTATGGGTTGCTATAGAAGGGAGTCCAGGGCACCAAAACAGACACTGTTCAAGGTCAGGGAGGAAACCGGTTCATTGTTCACATTTTAATAACTCAAGGCCCAGCTGAAATCTAAGCTCTACCACATTTAGGTACCATTAGAAGCTGTATAGGGGATACTATAAAGTATCCTGAGGATACTATAAAGTATCCAAGCCTGACAAAGCAGGAGTAATTATTAGTAAATCTTCCAAGTTAAGTTAACAATACAGTGCGAAGTTGCTAATCTTTCCTTATCCTTTGAATTACATCCCAAAACCTGAGGGGGCCACAACTCTGGTGACATGAAGAAAAGTAAACTGTAGGCATTTTAAAACAGTGCATTCATGTGGTAGATACTTGTGCATTTTTCCTGTCTTGAGCATACAAAATGCCATTGTAAAGCAGTGCTAGTAGTATTTTAGCATTTAAGATGTTTGAATGGAAATTGTTTCTAAATGTTCCTACATGTTTTCCTTCACAGTCTTTATGAATGCAGCAATACCAATTGCAGCTGTACTTATAGTAAGTATGGACTTTTCTAAGTAATGTTAATTACAACTGTATTTTCAAGTATAAGTGATGTGGAAATGAGGAAGAAGGAAAACAGGATGCAAACCTGCTACACATTTGTGGTTCCTCTGAAAGAGAATGGAAAATGCCCACTTGTCATCTCGGACCAGAAGCAGCCTGGAATATGCAGCACTCCCCCAAAACGTTAATAGAGTAGAGTATAATTAAGATTCTGTAAATGAAATGCTTATGCAATGTGAAGGCTTTGTTACCTTCTTTATGGCAAAGCACTGATGATGATGTCTGTCTCTTTGTAGACATTTGTTGTCCATGCTCATCTGACAAGAAAGGCTGACTTCTTCCCATCGGTGGCATTTGCCTCCATCTCCCTGTTTCATATTCTTGTGTCTCCATTGTTCCTGCTCTCCAGTGTGGTTAGATCCACTGTCAAAGCATTAGTAAGGTGAGAACTGTAAAGTCAATATCTTTGCTACCACCTTTCTAATTTTTGAGAATGTGTCTCTTGCTCTTTTACGGTTTCAAGTTTAGAAATAGCCTGGTGATTATTTATCTACTCATGTAAACTGCTTCCCAACTTTTTACTGTGCTTGATTTCCTTGGTTGTAGCACATGGGCCAAGTTCTGTGCTGACACCATTGTCACAACCAATATTTTGTGGTGCACAGCTGGTGCTTCGTTCTGTAGAATGGGTTGAGCTATGTTGATACTGCATGCAACAGATGTGTGGTAACAAGAAAGGAAGTGAAAATTTACTGAAGATTTAGTTCTGTGAATCACCCAAACGTTTTCCCTCCATCAAGCACGTAGAAGGGTAAAAGGTAATCACAGAAGCACCTGTTTCAGTGTGTGTCTTTTGGGTTGTGCTAAGCCTCCACCCCTCTGCCTGAGAGACTGCCCATTGGTGATGAGTTAGATGAAACAAATAAGCAAATAAAAAAACCTAAAAGTCACTATTAAGTGTGAGACCAAGTTAATGATTAAATGTCTACTCCAGACTCGATGAGTTGTTACTTTCTTGCGAAATGTTAGTTTGAGCGTTTAAAAACTGAAACAACAACCAATAGAACAGCCATAGAACTGCTGTTTCACTGGGAGTTTTAACTTAAGTATCAACAGATTACTGTAAAAAACTCATAATGCTTTTTCCTGTGCATTGTAACTCTACCTGACTCATAGGGGAGGCAAGTTGGGGCTTCTTGCTTTATTAGGACCTCCTTATGTCTGAAGAGCTCATTTAAATATAGCTGTCTGAAGAGCTTGTTTAAACTATGGGACAGATGGTGGACACCAGCCCTTTGTGCCTTTGTGTTGCTTTGGGGGTGGAAAGGAGACTTCAGCAAGAGGCTGAGATTGCCCTTGCTGTTTCAAAATTCCCTGACACTGCAAAGTCCCATCTGTGTCCTCTCTCCTAAGGAGTGTGAAATCTGAGAGCATCAGCGGCTGGAAGGAAACACTTTGAGCCACTGTGGTAGTCTGTAGAGTCAGGACAAATTTTCATGCGAACATTACATCCAGCAAAGTATCTGGGGGCCCGCATTGGTAATGGGTGTTTATTTTGGCTTGTCTAAGGATTTCTTTGTAAATTGATTGTGTCTGTCAATGCTGCAGGAACAACTCTAAAGCAATTAGTATTAACTAAGTATTAATTGTTGCTCGCTGGGAGTTCTTTATGAGTTATTCTGTAGATACCTTGTTGTTAGCAGGCTGTTGCCCTGCATTTGTAATCCAGACAGGAATCAAACTCTAGCAAAGCTGCCTTGATTCCTGTCTTCCTGCATGAAAGTCACCCGGGTGGTGTTCCAGAGTGCATTGCTCCGTAGTGCTGCTGATGCTACTCTGGATAGAGTGCCTCATCCTTCAGAGCAATACTTTGGAAGCATGTGCCAGATATTTTCAACCCATGCGAAGACATGCTTGCTTAACTTGTTTGATAAATGTGGAAAAGCAGACAGTCAAGTTTGCACCAATTGAGCACAATTAATACTTGCTTGCTATAACTGTGTCCTGCTGTTACATCTTCCTGCTAATAAATAACTGGTCAGTAAGATCAGGAAAAGGTGACCTAACTTGGCAAAGTTATATTTCAGCTTTTTTTAGGCTAAGATATATAGTGGTTTTAGCAAGTGTGCAGGACAGCTTCTCCTGTAGTGACACAAAGGGACCACGTGACGCAGAAGATGATCCAGCAGTGAAACCAGCATATAAAGGATAGTAAGAGGGTGTTACTGGCTTTGTATCCCAGGCACTTCAAAAACCCTACTCTTTTAATATTGGCTACAGTCTCTGATGCCAGATGCTATCAGGGACAATAATATCGACCAATAACCTCATCAGTCAGTATCTTTAATCATTACACGTTTGCCCAAGTTCAGAGCATCCTTCTGGATTGTCATTGACATTATCAGAACCTCCGTGTGATGGATTCCAATAGCAACACAGACTTAAAGCTTCTATTCCATGTAGGACTCCCAAAACCTTTCCAAGTTATGGGGCTTGGGTGTCTGCTTCTAAGAGGGTGAACAGTTGACAGTCTTTAGGAAGGTGAGAAATTTTGGTATATTTTTGAAAAGTGGGGGTGTTTGGTTGGTTTTTAATATGTAGAGCATTTCTACCATTGAAAATTAAAACTGAGCAGCCAATTAATGTATTTCTTAAATGTGAGGTCTTCAGGGACAAAGCGTACAGTGTAAATTTTCTGTCAGCAAAGGTTAAGCAGCAAGAGTGGCATTATGTATTTGCCTGGATTTAATATCAAACCACCTTTTCAGTCAGCTGTGCAAATAACCATGTTTTAATCAATACGTCTGTTCCATGACTTGAAAATAATCTCCCCGTGGAGATATTGGAGTGCTAATGAAATTACGCTGTCAGCAAGAGCTCTGCAGAGAACATGATTTTTTTATCCTTGAAGAACAGTGTGGCATCCTGAAATATGAGCTGTGGCCTCTAACGAAAGATTTTCTCACAGCTATACTATGTTTCTTCAGTACTTGCCACAGCAACAGTGATTCCAGAATTATGCATTGAGCAGAGGGATTGGCACTTAGAGTACAGCCACCTTGACACACAACTAGAGAGCAAAATCAAATTGTCGAATGGCTTAATACAGACACATCCTTGTTTGATTATGCATGGTCCAAGTATGTTGGCTGTCTTCTCTTCCTACCCCTCTGGACCCTGGAGCAGATACACAGGGGACTTCTCTATCTGCTCTTTCTACCTTCAGAGCAATTATTCAAAATCAGTGTAATTTTCATATAAAGCATATAGGTGCAGCTGCATATCAACTCCATATAGGCAGCATCTAAACCATCAGTTGATCCATTTAAAGACATTTAAAATGTTCTTTTAAACATCTGGTTCACTGGACAAAAAAGGTAAGATTCCTAGCCTTATTTTTCAGACTTTTATGCAAATAGCTATAAATATCTCTGGTGATGGAGTTTCTAATCTCTTCCTTTGAGATAATAGACTTTCCCATCAAGGAATTTTGATCCAAAATTGAACCTGAATTAATTATTGCTCCTCTTATCCCATCCCAAATAGTTATTCTCCCCCTTTTTGTTGCTATGATTGTAGTACCTCCTCTAGCTAAATTCACTCCACTGTATAGCTCTTAGTCTTCAGCTGCCATTAGCAATTAGGCAGGTTGACAAAAAAACTGTAGAACCAGTTCTCTCCTAGGCAGTCCCTAGGTGACTTTGATCTCTGCTTGGGGGATGAGTGCTAACTGTGCAGGGAGTCTGCCTTAGGTAGTGTTGTAAAACCGTGGTCCGACACCATTTTGGCGCCGGGGGGATTTCATGAGCTACTTAGAAGAAACTAATTCTCCTTCCAAAGAAGAAAACCGTGTCAGTGCAATGCAAAATAAATGGGGAAGGTGTGTATTTTTATTTTGTAAGATTGGCTTCCTAACAGATAGCCACGTATCACTATGCTACAGTGGCATTGTTTACCTCTTTCTCCCCGGTTAGCCTAAGGCTTAATATTGAAACCAATTTTTTCAGTCCTTGTCCATAAATTTATTTTTAGGAACCTAAGGCCTTCTGGCACTTTATCCTTTTCAAGACTGATATTTAACTTATTTCCAGCTAATTGAGTTCCTTTGATGTTGAGTTTGTGATTCAATCCAATTCTTTCACAAATTTCATTTGCTGTCCCTGTGAGTAGATTAGACGTACATTTTATAAAGTCAGGTGCAGAGATAAAATTGATGCCCTGATCTGTTAAATGTCTTAATAAAGGCACATTATCTCTTAACTAATTAAATCTTAAGCAACTAGTGAAGATTTTATGCCTTCTTCTTTGTTGCTGGTTGTCAGGATTCCTTTTATATCTCATCTGTTGAACACTGTTCTATTAAGGTATATTCCTTTATCATGTTACCTTGTGCACTTCGTATTTCATCATAGCTGGTTGAATTTAGCTCACAGTGTACAAATTTCATCAGACTTAGTGTTCATAAGGCTGTTCAGTAGAACTGATGATGCCACACTTGAGTAACATAAATGACATTGATTCCACTTCAGCTTGTGGCTTTGAAACAAGCCACTGTTGTGCTGGTCCGTGTCCAACCAGATGCCTAAAAAAACCTTTTTGTAGTGTCTCTGGTGGTGTCAGAAGAGACAAGACTTGAGAAGCATCTGCACAACCTGTTAAAATATCATCCTTGTTAATAGACAACAGGGCAGGATTTGAAAACTTCCTTGGCAACTTCCCATTGCACATTTTCATACATCTTTAACAAAATGAACACAAACTATGCAGCAGACAGCAACTGAAGTGCCAGAAGGGACGGTCTATAATAAACATTGCAGTGAACAGAAGTTTTCCTTTGAACATTGACATGTGATTTTTCCCCTTCCAGTGTGCAGAAACTGAGTGAATTCCTGTCCAGTGAAGAAATTGGAGAAGAGCATGATAAATCTTCAGAGCTAAGAAGTGCAGATAATCACAGCAAGTACCAGGCGGTGGTGAGTAAAGCTGTTTCACTGCATTTGTACCCAGAATAAATTTTTTACTTTTCCATTTCCTACTAATTTTTTCTTGCAGTTGCAAAACCTCTGTTTTAATAATCTGAACTGTATCATCCACACTGTGATTGCTTGTGTTTAGGACAGTTTGCTGATACTGCCACCAATTACTGCTGATTTCTGTCTTTCTGATTTTGCACAGCCACTCAAAGTTGTTAACCGCAAGAGGCCTGCCAGGGAGGACTGGAACAATTACAGCTCTCACATGAGAAGACCCATTAATATCACAGAAGCAGATGATTTTTGTGTAAAGGTGATATGAAGGTCACTCTAATAACACTTATATTAGCTCACTAATAGTCACTTTTGTATTCTGATGGCAGTTTCAATTCAAGAACCAGCATTTGATGTGAACTGTGAGACACTTGTGCACTTGTCAGAGATTAACCTCCACCTTTCTTGTCTCTGTATTTCTTTTCAAGAATTAACTACTGACCTCTATGTTGTGATTAGCTGCAATTATTTCCTCTAGATTCCACTCAGCAATTTTCTATTCAGAGTCTCTAAGTCGTTAGTCCTGTTCTCATGACAAAAATTAACTAGAATCTATTAACTAAATTAACTAAAATCTACTAGAATGTAGAACAGCCAAGTAAAAGGAACCTCAAAAGACCATTTGGCCCAACCTTTTATGTATGCTAGACTCCTTCTTTCATTTCCAGTGTCTGTACCCAATAATGGTATGAAGAGAATAGAATATAATTTGTTCTGGACCTTCCTAAAATAATCTTGTAATGGATCTTCCCTTCCTCTTTTGGATTTCCTAGTAGCCTTTCCAGATAAAGTTAAAAACTAACTCTCAAAGACCTAACTTCTCTGAAGAAAAAATTAAAATTACTTGCGCCACTTTGAAGACTGATGCTCTTGATTTGCTGTGAAAATGACCAGAAGTAATAAAAATCCTGATGGTTGTTATGGTGATGATGCTGTTTATTGAGGAAGTCTGCTATTACATTTGCATTTCCAGCAAAAGAGAATGAATAATTCAGTTTCATGAGACTAAGTAGGACAACTGATAGTGCTTTTAGGGTTTTTTTAGACATGCTGATTTGGTGGCAGATTCATCTTGAATAGATTTCCAGGAAGAAAAGAGAAATATTTGAGAGAGAGGGTTTTGGGGGGCAGTGTTGGATCAAAAGACAGCCTGGAGTGACAAGAGATGAGTTTGTCGCAAAGGAGAGGCCAGTGCAGTAACCTCTGTAAGGATAGGATTATATGGCTTGAACCAAAAGCCAGGACCAACGATAATCTTTGGCTCCATCTGCTGACATCATTGTCACCGGCGGCCCCTGGGTCAGGGCACTTGTGCAGGTACTGTGTGTCTGCAGCTCATTGCCCAGGAAGGAGCATTTTTTGAGAGAGGATCCTCTGGCTGCCTTTGGGAGTCTAGAGGGAGGAACACCACATTTGCTTTGCTCATTTTTTCAAGTAGTTTCCCAAGAAGAGCATCAGTTTTTCTCAAGGGTGTGATAGAATTGTCCCCTTCCACTCTTCTTAGATCAAAATTTATTGTACCTTGTATAGCTGAAAGGCTTTGAAAGCTTCAGTGGCTCTGAAAAAGTGAGAGGAGAGGGTCCTGTATAAATCCAGACCTTTTATAATTGTCTCCTCTTTCCTATTTTTCACAGTATCCATGGAAATCTCCATTTAAAGTCTGAACAGGCTTTGTTTCCTGTTTTTAGTCTTTTTCAGTTAAGATTTCTGTGTCTACCAAAGAGTAAGTTATCTGAGAATCATATCAGAAATACAAAGGAAAATACTGTAATAGGCAGCAACATCTATGGATGGTGGAAAGTTCTGCAAATCTGCTTGGAATTTGGACTGTAATTGCTGTATAGGCTTCACTGTCTAGAGTGACATTCGGGGCTCTGCAGAGAGCAGACTGTGACCATGTATGCAATTTAATTGTGTCTTAATCATTTCACTTATTATATGTACCCACCTTACAAATAATGAAACAAGAAAAACCTTAAACAGCAACATTTCGTTTTCCCTTTATGAAGTCTCAGTAATTTTCTAATAGTTGTGTTTGTTTGACTTCAGAGGTTCTTGCCCAGCAGGATACAGACCTTTACAAAATCAGTCACTTGAAGATCCATTTCTTGTATTGAGCAAAGGCTCACTCTGTTCCTAGGCTCAGTGTAATGAATACAGAAGTGTCTCTGATGCTGAGAAAAGAAGTGAACTCTAAAGCAGGATTTCTGTTTCTTATTTCTCTCCACCTTGGTATAGGTCACAAATGGATTTTTCACTTGGACACCTGAAGGTCCTCCAGCCTTGTCCAACATTGACATCCGAATCCCTCAAGGTACAAAATTACATCAGATATACAGAATGTTTTCCATAGGCATTTGTTAAATCAGAATCTTAGGTATACTTTCATCTCTCACAGGTCAGCTAACAATGATTGTAGGACAGGTGGGCTGTGGTAAGTCATCGCTCTTGCTGGCCATACTTGGTGAGATGCAGAAGATCTCTGGCAACATATCCTGGAGCAGGTAGTGCCATTTAACTTACAGTTCTAATTTAATTTAAAAATTCTGTTTGAGTTGAGTAGTAATGCAGAAAAAGCCTAAAATCTATCCTGGGAAACTGTGGAATCAGGGATTTTCTAGATACACAGTCAAGATAAAAACCTTGCTCTAAGTGGTAGGTGGACACATCAGAAAGAATCACCTGCCAGAGTAAAACAAGGTGTCTATTCCATTAGTAGGAAGGGATAACCATACTTGGGCATTCTGCACTCCAGCAACATAACCTGAGTGAAATTGAAATAATTTGCAATCAGGATTATTTAGCTTGAAGAGTTGTGCTGCTACAGAATGGCATTTGCACTTTCAGGCCTGAGCTTGTGTCTTTGCATGGAGCTATAAAGAGGTAATGGCTCACTAGGAATAGTCCCTGGCTTAGATGTGTGCTCCATGTGAGTCTCTTTTAAGTGGCAGTGACCTCGGAGTCCTCCCCCTGCATCCTGCCTGATCTGACAAGAGGGAGTCAGTCATGTCCTTTCTTCCTTTTCCAAGGTGACACAGCACCTGTACTCTGACAGCCAGTTATAAATTCTGCTTTTTGTCTAACTTTTGTACTAGCCATGAAGGGAAGGAAAAAAATGGTACTGAACTCCAGCAGCTTTTCTGTTGGGACTTGGTCTCTTGACCCTCAAGCTATGTGACAGATGGTGTAATGTATTGCAACTCCTGTACGTGGTTTCCGGTAAACTGCTGCCATCTGTAGTACGCAGTTTGATCAATGTGTGTGAACATTTTTGGCCTGTTTATTTTACAGTGCTAGACTTCCTAGCCATACAGACTGCACTTTGCCCTTTGGGATATGATTATTTGTAGGCAAAGCTCAAGAAATTGCTGAAGAACTTAGAGAAACAATTACTTTTGTTTCCAGCTGATTGGGAGTGAAGGAACAACAGTGCAACTGTAAGTCAAATCCACGCACTCTGATGGATAGAGGGTCACTGTTACCCAGTGGATTCTGCACTGATTTTGTGAAATAGTTCTCTCAAATTCCTTGAGCATTTGTAGAGAGATACTATTTATATCCAACCTTCAAGTGTAAGCCAGTCATACTACTCAGAATTGCACATGCTTTAATAGTAACAAGGAAGGAAGGTTCTCTATTTTGCAGGTGTGGAAAATATAATATAGGAAGGTGACCCTTTCAGCTGGTGAGGGAGAAAAGAACAGAAGCCAAAGTTCCAGAATGTCGTGATCTATCCGTTCGTACATAACTTCCCCAAGAGAAAATCAGAGTATGGTGGGCAACCATACAGAATCCCTGCAGCCTTATTAGGTGAACTAATTTCATTTCAGTAAGCCTGTAATTTTTTACAGATGACATAATATGATTAAGAAGTGTAATTTGAATGTCTGATGCTAAACTAAAACAGATGACATGATGGCTCTGATCAGACTGTGTTTTTAAATAGCACTTGTTTAGAAATATGTACTTCACAACAATGTAAAGGTCAGAACTGGTTTTCATGTCTTCTATATGTGCCAAAGTATCACACGGTGAAATTCAGTTGTTATCACATTTGCTTTGCTATCTGTCAGATATGTGTAAAGGGACTTGTGGCTGAAACAATCCGAGCGCTGTAAGTGCTGGCTGCACTGGGACAGATTATGTTTTGTCTCATCTTTCAGAGCTGCTGCCATGAGCCTTGGTCTATTCAGAGTGATAGATGCAGTCAGTGTGGGCTGCACACCTGTGTTGTAAAGCTATCAGATGAAAGCTCCCTTAATTTGATAAGAAAATACTAATGCCTGACCAAGAACATGCAACATTATCCCAGGTTCAAGGAGAGTAGTCTTATCAAGTAATCACCAGACTCATAGCCTTAGCTCAGGCAATGAAATGTGTCACCGAAATCAGTAAGTTCCTTGTCACAGCTCTTTCATGGGGAATGCTTCATTCATGTTACAGAATAGACCTGAATTAGCTCCTCCAAATTTCCTTCCCCTTCCCCTCCTCCAAGGTCAAAGCTATGAAGATGAAGGGCATATCCTGCTGGCATGTCTCTCACTGCTCAGGAAATCTGGATTCTATTCCTGTCCCTTCCCTTGGTCTAATGGATAACCTTGCACAAGTAATTTCCCCCCTCTGTGCCTCCATGCTGTATGAATAAAACACGATTAACTGCAAATCATCTTTGCTTGCTTCTTATAAAAATTGTTTGTTTCAAAACCTTAAAAAGTAATATGATTTATTTCTGGGCTAGGAGTGGGATAATCAGAAGTAAGCCATGGCTCATTTGTGATTTTTTGTTGTTTGTATTAATGCATGCCTTCAGAAGATCCAGCTCAGATTGATGCCTCTTATCCAAAGCAAGCTGAGAGCACCTCAGTATAAATATTGTATAAAATGGTATTGATTTGACTGATTATTGAGTAAATAATTATAGTATATGCCATGCTAATTTCTTCTGGGCAGTATCTCACTTTGAATAGTCCCATTTCAAGTCCTGTTGGAGTAAATAATACCAAAAAATTGACCTAAATGAGAAATAGTTTGCTCAATCAAAATTATGTCATTTGTTTTTAAACAGGACATATATATACTCACATCTGAATCTCGAGTCCTTATAATGTGAAGGAAGTGATAGTTTTAAGGTTGTTAATAGTAGGTTTTCTTCTCAATGTGGAATTGATTGTTTTTATCAAATCAAAAGTTTTTAAAGTTATTTTGATGCCTAAAAAATACATTGATTTTTTTAAAAATATTTACTGGAGTTTTCAAAAACATCAAGGTACTTAATTTACTTTAAATTGGGAGGCTTGAAAATCTCAATAGGTTGATCTTTGCATCATTAGACATCTATATGCCTTGAAAAATTAGATCTAGACCTCATTATCAAATATACATTACTTTGGTATTTCAACACTGGAGATCAAGGCATCCTTAATTGGTAGGAGTTAGCAGGAAAAAAAAATTATTCTCCATTTGGAGTTTTAAGTCAACCTTTTCAAACCTCTTTTCCCCACTTTGTTTTATCTGCCCTTTATCCCTTTTCCTGCAAACTCCTACCAATTAAGGATGCCTTGATCTCCAGTGTTGAAATACCA